TTGATGCTTAATTTAAGCTGGACCTTGCTTGCTGGTCCTTGGTGTGCCTTCCGGTATTTATTTTATTGGATCCGGCATTAACTTGTGTGTGTGTGTGTGTGTGTGTGTGTGTGTGTGTGTGTGTGTGTGTGTGTGTGTGTGTGTGTGTGTGTGTGTGTGTGTGTGTGTGTGTGTGTGTGTGTGTGAGTGAGTGAGAGAATGTGAATGAGTGAGAGAATGTGAATGAGTGCAAGCGAAGGCTGTGTGATTGTATGTACACACGCATGGTGGAAGTCACCATGCGCAAGTTATAGCAAAAGTCACGTTTAACTATTGGCCCCTTAACAATATTTTCAGCCAATCAGCTTTCTTATGCGTACAATCACTCATTAGTTGGTGATTGAGCAGCGAAAATAAATAATGGCATAGAGGCCAGCCTAAATAATATTTGTATTTTTCAAATGGTAAAGCTGCAGTGAAGCTTATTTTTATTTTTAATAAAACGAGTAAATCTGATAATGAGCCTGATCAAAAGATCTTGAGAAGATGAAACTGCGCAAATGGATCAGGGAAGCGGGAGACAGAAGCAAAGCGATCTTAAGGCCCAATCCCAATTCTACCCCTTAGCCCTTCCCCTTACCCCTCGTTTTGTGCATTCACATCAAGGGATAGGGGTGTCCCAATTCTCTTAAGCTTGAAGGCGTAGGGCTAAGGGGAAGGGGTGAATAGCTCTTCGAACAAAGAACTTTCAGGACCACACCCGAAACCAAGGGGTAAAAAAAATTCCAGAATACACCAGCCACAACAGCAGATAGTTACACCCGGAAGTAAGGAGATCGGAATTTACAAATTTTAACAACAAACAAGCACATGTTTAATATATTCAGAACTGCAGACATGTTTTACCGTCATGCTGTAAAAAACGATCTGTTATCCATAATCATACCTCCTGTAGAGCAGTCCCACAACATTCTGACACTCGATGACACTCGAATACCTTGTCAGTAAAGTCTAGTGGCTGTCAATGAGCTTTTTACAGTGTCTGCTATAATGTTAATGCTGTTTTTGGTGTGTTTACATTGATGAATATGGCCACTGTGTTAAATGCACAGTATTACAGTCTTATTGTCACATTAGATCGTTATGATAACATAATAATGCCTTCAGTGATTTCCTGAAGATAAATACCAATAAATAACACAACTGGAATCACTACAGTTAAGAGTATCTGATCTCATATGATCCAAGAGATCGCGATGACATATGATGACGTGTGCAGGTGCTGTAGTGGTGTCCCAACTCTCAGGGGTAAATTTTGAGGCCCTTCCCCTTCACCATTGGTTTTAAGGGGAAGAGGTAGGGGTACAAAAATAGAATTGTTGGGTATCTGGGCTCTTCTTGAAGATTAGACTGAGTGAGTGATTTAATTATTATTTTCACTTGGCACATAATAGTGAAGCGAGCTGAATAGAGATTTTTCAAGAGATTTATGTTTGTAGCTGCATGTTTTTATCCACGATGACTGACATATAATGTTATACGACACAAAATAAGACAGTTCAGAAATGTGATGCTCTTCTTTTGCGTTATCGATGACGTCATGTTTTGGGATAACGTCTGTGAACTTGTGTGGTGGACATCGGTCACAGTAACTTTTATTTCCTGGTTTTGTTACAGCTTTTCTTCAGTAAAGCTTTTCTTCAGTAAACCAACACAATGACATGGACAGCAAACAGTCCAGGTTTACATCCAATTGAGCATTTCTGGTGGGATTAGCCAATGACAAAAAGCTCCTATTTGCAAATCTGATCTGTCAACTGCTATTTGAGAAAGCTGGAGCCAAATTGATGCAGAATATTGTTATTCATTAGTTAGGTCTATTCAGTTATTTTAAAAAGGTTTGTGGAGTTTGCAAGTTCTCCCAGTGTTCATGTGGGTTTCCTCTGTGTGCTCTGGTTTACCCCCCCTCTCTCCAAACATGTGCTGTAGTTGAATTGGATAAACTAAAAGTTGGCAGTAGTGTGGGTGTGTGAATGAGATGTGTATGATTGTTTTCTACATAAAACATATGCCTGAGTAATTGGCAGTACATTGCACTGTGGTGCGACCCCTGATAAAATCAGGGACTATGCAGAATAAGTGAGAGTGAGTCAGTGTTTTAAGGCATTTTTGTTGTGTTAATTTCCTGTGAATTAAATAATTTGACTGAACAATCTTAAGTGTGGTGATTCCATAATTTTTGGCAGGGGTTGTAGGTGAGGAATTATATCATCAACTGAGTTAATGAAGCCTTGACCTAAGGCATCTGAGCACAGTTATAGCCATTTCCACTGAGTTGTATGGTTGGTATGCTTCTGTGGCTGTTTCCACTGGGTGGTACGGTTTGGTACGGGTGCCAGTGGTACCCTTTTGGTGGGTGTGGTGTACGACGAAGTTTTAGTCGAAGTCATTCTCGCTCGAGGAAATGTCTACAGTAAAGCTGTACGGGTCGTTCACATATCATGTGAGAAGCACTTCTCACAAAACAGATGCTTTATATACATAAATACTTGTGTATAAATGTTCATTACTAACCTTTATATGAACAGGATTTGGTAGTTGGTGTCCTTTTGGCAGTGGAAATGCAGGCCTGATGAAGGTGGTCAGTATTGTGCTGTATTGTACCACTCAGTGGAAACAGGCCATTAACTGACACTTATTCCAGTTCCCTGCAAAACTAGAATAAAGCACCTGCTTGTTCAGGCGCACTCATGATGTTGGTGGTTTAAACATGCTCGGCGTCACTTTTTTGTTCTTTGTGTCTCACAGAAATGTTCCTCCAGCACATGTTCAAAAAATGTGGCACAAAATGAAAAACTACTATGTGCCAGATTGGAACAGCAGGAGTTTTAAAGGTTGGTTTTTTGTTTTATAGATGAACCACTGCTTTCTTTTGTTTTGCATAGTACACTTTATAGATGGACACTCAAGGTAAATTTGTTTGAATGTTTTAAGACTCTTTTAAACAGCTTGATATCTCAGAAGATTTCTGGTGTACAATTAAAACAAATAGTGCATGCAGTGACTGGAGCTGAATTGCTTTCTTTTATTGCATGTCTGTGTTGTGTTTTCAGACAATGTCTCACATCTCCACAACGACATTTTGCCGTGCCTCGTGAGAAGCTGCAAAGGCTTTGATGTCAATGCGGTCCAGGTAGAGCAGAAGGAACTATTCCGGCTATCAAAAATTTTTAAGGACATTAAGGAAGAAAGCCAGGACATTGAGGAAGATGGCCAGGACATTGAGGAAGATGGCCAGGACATTGAGGAAGATGGCCATGATGGAGATGAAGAGACTGGCGAGCAGGAGAACAACAGCTTTAATCAATAGTGAGCAATCGGTCACGGTTTCCAAATGATTTAAAGAAAAGAAGTTGTACATAGTTTTTATAAATTCTTTTTATTTTTGGGTTTTACAATTGAGCAGGAAATAAACTGAATCTGTCAAAGGTTTCTGAGTTTTTAAAGGTTTTCTGGACATTTAGTTTTTCTATAAAAGGGTTCAAACATGGGTGATAGAGGTAAACAATGGGAGACAGCACACAGTGGCAGCATTTAGTCATCTTGGTGTAACATTAGATCAATCCTATTACATTTTCAGACGAGCCATGGCCCGATGCAGTGGGTCAGAACTCCATGGTCAGGTTCCCACCCCAAGAGTCAGCCTGTGAATGTGAGAAATTCAAAGCTCTGCTTCACTGTAACAATAGGGGTCCTCTTATCCCTACTGGCAGGATCTGATTTGATATTTGGCTGCTAGATTGAGAAACATAAAGAGGTACATGATTAGTTAGGGATAACTCCATAATATCACTATTTAGGATCGAGACTCGAGCATAAAATCAATAGCTTTTTTATTGCTCGTGTTATTTATAAACTATTAAATGCATGATTGTCAGTATTAATCAGAAAGAACAAAAGCAGATCACAAATTTGTTCAGTGTTTCTTCAGTCCAACTGCTCTGCTGATATGAGGTGGATGAGTCTGGTCGTGGCCCCAGGCAGAGACTTCAGTGTACCAGTGAAATAATACAGCAGAAAACATCTTTCAGTTACCAAAGCAGGATGTCTGAGGGGTCTTCAAAAGTATTCAAAGTTAATAAATCAATGTTGAGAAATTTAAGACCCTTACAACAGTATAAAAAAAGTCTTAAATGCTGCTTTGCAAGGTGTTAAATGTTATATCATTTTTGATTATGCAATGTATGGTTGTACGCTAAAGTTTGCCTGAATTAAATCTATCAGGATGCTGTGTAGTTTATAAAATCATCACATGTTTTACACAGCAGATGCCCTTCCAGCTGCAACCCATCTCTGGGAAACATTCATACACAGTTATTCACTCATACACTACAAACAATTTAGCTTATTCAGTTCACCTGTACCACATGTCTTTGGCCTGTGGGGGAACCCACGCGAACGCAGGGAGAATGTGCAAACTCCACACAGGAATGCCAACTGACCCAGCCAACGCTGGAACCAGTGACCTTCTTGCTGTGGCTCAACAGCACTACCTACTGTGCCACTGCATCGCCAAACACACACACACACACACACACACATATATATAATTAATTTACAGAAAAAAACTCTGGTGGGGTTTTTCTTGTTTTTTTGTCCTCAGCCAATCACATGCCTGATCAGGCTATTTTTTATTTTTATTTTTAAGAGACTTGTTGTGTTTTTATCACTCCAATATGACTGTGTCGACACACTATTCCTACACACAGTTCTGTGCAAACCGCTTACAAAAGATGATTTTCATCATAGGTGCCCTTTAAGCTTGAAGTCACTAAACAAATGCCTATTTTGTTCTTAAATATTATTATTTTATATTGGATTCTTAACTACGTGCAGTGATCTCTATTGAATAATGTTCAGATATTTGTGCAGGAATAACGTACAATATAGTACAGTGAATTTTTGTCATGTCTATGTAAATACTCTTCTAGCCGACAGGTGGCAGTATAGCTGTGGTGGCGCTGGAAAGTTTGCAGACTAATCAGCGAAGAAGTTCAGGAGCGAAAGTACGGAATTAGTAAACGTTTCAACTCTTCAGGTGCATAATTATATTTCTGCTCACGTAAGTTCATATGTGTCGCTAAACATATATTCGTAATGTTTTTGGTCTGCTTCTGTAATCAGTTCGTGCGCAGGAGGTGAAGTTAGCGGCACGTGCAAGAAGTCGTCGGGAGTTTTGCGTCATGATTTTTAGCGTGTAAAGATCTTTATTTTACGATGGATGAGATGCAGTCAGATTCACCAAACAACGTTGATGGGGAAAAGATGAAGAAGAAAAAGATAAGTAAAACTACTGAGCAGCATGAACTCACTGAGAGTCCACAGGAACAGACTGAGAAACGCCGTAAAAAGAAGAAGAAGAAGAGGAGAGACAGTACAACTGAATGTGATGATGATCTGCAAACAGACACAGGCAAAAAGAAGAAAAGGAGAAAGCTGGATAATGAAGGCGAGACTTCAGTGATGGATGATGGAGTCTCAGATCAGCATGAAGCACAAACACAAGAGCTCCCGGGTTCAAGTGAAGAGAAGACTTCTAGGAGATTGAAAGCGAGAGTAAGTGCAACACAGACAAGCCATGCAGAGATGACAGAAGAAGAACAGACTGACACCGAGACAGAGCATGAGGAAGAGCCAAACACGAGTGATGATGAGGAAAGCGGCCCGCCTGATGTGGTGATCGGCACTGGATGGCGCAAATCTCGCAAGATTCCAGTAGATTTGAAGCTCCTGGCTGAACTGAAAGAGTTTTGCCCGAATACGGCGATAGAATCTCAAAGCGATACTGAGATAAATAAAATGATCAAGTATGACCTGCCAAGATTCAGAGAATTCAAGAAACAAGGTAAGTGTTGATACATACAGGGTTTTTCCTGCATATACAGTTACGTGTATGCAGGGGCGAATTATAGGGGTGTTAAAGGGGGTCAGACCCTCTAATTAACGCTTGATTCTCTCTGAAGGACATCAAAACAAGATGTGTGGGGGTCTGCCCTTTATTATTTAAAAAATAATTAGCTCTTATCTTTATCTTAAATAATATTACTACTTTAAATAATAAATACCCTAAAATGCATTTGACCACCCCTATAATGGTTCGTACCATTGTGAATGTGAATGCAAAACAAACAAACAAAAATAATATTAATTCAGCGGTTTGAAACGGGCAAATCTAGAGCACTAACAGATCAGAGCTCACAAACATGGTTCTTGTAAAATGGGTATTTGCACTGTAGATTTCCATAAAACTAGATGCATCGTTTGTATCCTATTGTACTGTACATTTGCTTGCACCTGAAAGTTAATTAATTTCAATTAGTTAGTCTTTCATGGACATCCTTTAACCCCTGTAAGACTTAAGATATCAAATAATAGGCAGACTTTTTTTGCTTACAAGTTAATGACAAGTTAATCTAAAAAATGTAATGACAAAAAATAATTTAGCCTCTGACATTTTAACAACAGATTTCAAACACAAATTTCAGGCAGTTTTTCACTTTGTTTTTACCTGTTACCTTTTATCAAATAAGATACAACAGGTTTTTAAACAAAGTATTGATCAGGTTGATATTATAGGTCTTAGAAACTCCTGTATCAACTATGATACATGCGGCTTTATACGATTGGTTTATTTAATATCACAAATATCACTGAGAACCACTCAATATTCCTCAAAACATTGAACAAATAATAACAAGTTTGATGAATAAAGTAGATGTAAATTAATTAAAAAAAATAAATTTGGTTCACTGAGGCATATTACCGAACATAACTGGAAAACTTACTTTTGATGTGGAGGGTCCTTTTATGCTGGAGATACTGTTCCCCTTAAAATAACAATATAATACTCACAAAAAACAAGCAAAATTGGCATATCATAAAATTCTGGTGGTTTTAAAACCTTAACTTTTTCAAACCGCGATACACATTAAAACCGCCTATCATCCCATGCTTAGTCCTGCCACAGTTGCTTTCACATAAAATAAGTCCAAACACATGTTTAAGGCTATGACTCATGGGCTCTATCATTGAATTGTATGATTTCTGCTTGTTTTTGTATGATTTTTTTTTTTTTTTGAGGAAGACAAGCTTAAGTCTGTCCCTGTCACATTTTTTTTAAGTGAAAATGTACATTTCTGGTAGAATGTCCCATGTGCATATATTATGGTAGCATATTATAATATATAATAGAAAATTTTCTGACTGTAATATACCCAAGTTAAAAATATGGCTGAGCTGATAAATGATATATCGAATCGCGATAAAATTGATGTCAATAACAATGATAAGCTCTGGTCTTTTTCACTCCATGCTGATATAAGAGCCAATCACACAGCAGAACTGTGAAACAATGGGAATCTAAAAGTGTGTTGGTTAGGGATGCTCCGATCAGGATTTTTACAGCTGATACGGAGTACTGATTTCTTGTCATGGTGATCAGCCGATACCGAGTACCAATTCTGATGCTTTAAGCTTTATAATGCATAAAGCACATTTTCCCTTTAAGTATGATAGTAAAGTGGGGATCTCTCCTTAGCTAGGAGAATAAATTGAGGATGCTGCATGTAACACCTTAAACACGTCTCTTATAACCATTTAGTGTGGACATGGCAACTTTACAGAAACTTTACAGAAAATAATAGATAAGAATTGGTAAGAAAAATCCCTAACACAGCTATTTAGAAACACTGCAAATGATGAAAGAAGAATTCAGCATGTCTCACTGAAGCAAACATTTGAGGCATTTATTTGATGCATAACATTTAATATTTTATCTAATTTGGGGCGTCACAAAGCCACTGTGAATATGTGCGAGACTCGCAGAGCTCATACAGTAAGATAAGACTAATGGAGATTGCTCTGCTTGCAGCACAGCAGCTCAAAACATTGGATGTGCATTGGCTGCAACAAAGAGACAATCACTCGCATTAGTCGTGCCAAGCTTTATAAACATAAGCCACACCACTTCTGTGTGTATTTAATGGCCCGTTTCTACTGAGAGGTACTGTACAGTACGGTACGGGTCACCTTTATCAGGCATGCGTTACCACTGCCAAAGAGGGTACCCTTTTGTTGGGTGTGGTCTAATAATTATTCGTATTATTATTTAAACAAATGTATGTATTTACTATGTATGTGTTGTGTATATATTACATTTTTCCTTTACTCTTTCATTACAGGCATCGCAATGAGACATGGAAGATTTTCTAAAGCAGAAAATGAGAAGTTAAGACAGAACGTAAGCGACCTTCTGGCTCTCACACAACTGAAAGATGCGGTCATGCTCTTTCATCCCAAACGGTTCCTAAATGAGGAAATGAAATTGGCAGAGTTGAAAAGGATGTACGGGTTTTATCAAAAGATTGGTGAGTGTTAAATGTTGATTGTGTCCTGCTGTAGGTCATCGTCCTTTTGTACAGTTTAAAGGGTCACGAAACAGCAAAACACTTTTTTTTTTAAAATGTTTACAGTCATATATGTGTCCTACGCTGCTATAAACACTATTTGGACACACATATTTCACTAAAAAGTAAAACCTTTTGCATTATTTCGAGCAAATTCGTTATTCTGGTAAAAATTAAATAAAAATACATTTTGAAGCAACATTACGGCGATTAGATCCTTGTGTATATTCCAGCGTGTAGACTGGATGTCTGTACCAGCGAGTACAACGTGATGTCTTTGAGCTTTCAGCATTCATTCATGAGAAAGACTTGGTTCGAACCAATCATCGCTCTGTTGTGTATGAGGTGTAACTTAATATGCATGATTGCTTCGAGGACTGTTTGTACCTGTTACAGTGTTCAGACGGCAAAGAGACGCCACGTTGTGTTGCCAACAGTAATTCAAACACGTGGAAGAAGAATTGTTTGGAGACATGGGTTGTCAGTGTTGCGTTTATAAATGTGCTGCAACATAGGTTTTGTTTTCATTTTCTGCTATGAGAGCGCAGCTGGACTCACATGTGGACTATAGTGCTATGCTAACACACAACAAAAAAACGTTTGTAGGGAACATCTTTTGCCCGAGAGCTTTTCTCGCATCTGGAAATGGTGAAATCCGGATTTGCCGCTCATCTTCCTTTAAAAAAGACGCAGCTCCAGTTGGTGTTGATTGTCATGTCTTTTCGGATTTGGTGATCAGTAGCCGTGTTTCCACTATCGCGCCTAAAGCAAGTGAGCCAGGGCCAGTCGCATTTCCACTGTCACTTCCGGGGCCTAATCGGGCCAAAGCGGGGCTTTCTTGGGGCCAGCGGCCGGCCTTTTTTGGCTTGCTGAATACCTAGGGCCAAAGAGGGTCAGCTAGGGCTTCTGGGCGGAGTGAAAGGAGAGGTAGACACTAGTTTTCCGATTGCACATGAGTACATGCGCCAAACAAATAAATAAGGGAAAGATATCATCTAGCCTTATAGTCTGGGGTCTTTTTGCATATGATCGCCTTTATGTTTCCCTTTTAAATGTAAGGCTGTTGCATAAAATAATAAAGTTTTAATTTATAAGTGACTTTGCTGCGTCCTCATTTCAATAACGCATAATAATCTTTACACCATATCAAAGACACAACAGACAGTAAAGGTTGTCGAGAGTTTTTGTCAAGTTTAAAAGGTGTTTGTGCGCGATACGTGCGCGTTAGATGCCTGTATGTGTGAGGCCAGGCAAGAGCGCTCCCTTCTAAGCTCTTTTTTTTCCTTTTCTTAATATATTTTGGAGATAATACACAATATGAATACAACAAAAAGACATAAAACTTAACAAATTACGTTTCCACTTTTGTAGGCTCAACACAAAAGTGTCATATCTCGATAAAATAGCCTAAGCTATAGTGAAATCATTTAAAGCATTACAAATATTGGATATAATAAAATCACATTAAATAAACCAATATAAAACAAACAAAAACTTTACCAGTGTAGGTATATACAATACATAAATTAAATCGTTTACATATTAAACTTTCATTTTACAAAGCCGTCTCTGAAAAAAAGATTTTAGATATTTTCTAAAAACAATAAACACAGGAGAAGGTTTAAGTGAGTGAAAGCAGAAATACCTTCTTTTCTGTCATCCAGTCCTGCGCACAGTGCTACTTTACAAACGCATCGGGGGAAAACTGCAAGTACAAAATGTGTTCCTCAAACAAGTGTTGATGTTTTTATGTGACGTGGTAAAATTTAAAAATGAAATTTTAAATGCATGTAGAGCTTTATTAGTGAAAAGCTGCTGAGCGCAACTAAATATAGCCTATATTTTATTACTTGTTCTTATGTGCTGAAACACTTAACACTTTCCTTTATTTAAGATCTCCAAATAATATGCAACATCCTTAAATAAAGGGGAATCACATATTAAGTGTCATGTAGCCTAGGGAAAAATGTATATGTTTCAGGTCTCTCCAGAGCATTTGGGCTGAATGTTTGACGACGTCTATCAAAACGAGGATGCTATAAAATACATTTCATACTCAGTTATTACCGGAACATTTCTGTGGTTTTATATTATGGACGGGTGCGCTCACTGCACTGGGTCCCTCCGTTAGTGGCGAGACCACTCGATGCACGATGCTAACAGTCGGTCGGTAAGTAAACAAATACAATGAAGGAGAACACACAGGCCTGTTCGTATAGACATATAATGTGCTGCTGTACAGTAACGTGTCATTTGTTTGTTTGGGTTGTCTTCATTTTAATGGTTTCGTGATGATGCGATGGTGTGCTTTATCTGCCTGATTCCCCCTGAAGTGGGCGGGTTGTGTGACGTTTTATTCGGGGAACGTTCTGGGGGCGGGCTTTGCATGACATGTTGCGAGCTACTAGCCTGACAAGTGGAAACGTGACATGATTTCGGCCTCACTGCTCAACCTCCCAGGTGATTGGCCCAGCCCAGTCCTATAAAAGCCCTGGCTCGCACTGGCGCAGCAGTGGAAATGCGGCTAATTTGTGAGTTTGGGCTGGGGTGGGGTTGTAGTATTTTGCGGGAAAGATTTTGGATTTCAAGTGACCTATATTTGTGACTTACACTGAAGATATTACTGTGAGATTTACAGCACTCACATATACTGTATGCAGTCTACAATACAAAAAATAGAAACATTTGTAGAACATTAGAAAGTGATGAATTAAGCATTTTGAGTGAAGTATCTGTTTAATAAAGACCTGAGTGGATATTGAACATTATAAGAAACTTTGCTGAAAATGTGACATTTTTGTTGCTCAATGAGGCTCTTCGTTTTTTTCAAAATCGAAATTGAACAGCGGAAGGAATTCCCAGACCATGTCATGATGTTTACACTCGTGGAAAGAAGATGTTTGATCACAGACATTATAAGGGAAAGTATGTAAAATATTATTCACAGAGATCATATTATGGTTCTGGTTTTTAATTTCGCTCTTTACTTAACTGATTTCTTCCTTTTTCTCTAAAGTTTTACTGAAGAAGAAGACAAAAGATTGCTGAAATACTATAATCTGTATGGCCCGAATTGGAAAAAAATTTCTGAAAAGACAGGTCGAAGTTCTTTCTCCCTTAGGAAACGATTTCCACAAATTAGTTCGGGTAAGTCTATTTCAGTGAGCCGTTTCTCACCGTTTCACCTGTCAATTGCAATTTATTGACAATTAGTCATGATAATGTCATCATTATTCATCACACAGTTAAAAGAAAGGGACCGTGGACTCCTGAGGAGGTGCAGAGGCTTTTAAGGGCTGTGCGTGAGCATGTTTTGTCTGTCCTGAAATCTGCAAACCCTAATAAAAAGAAACCAAAAAGAGTCAGAAGAGAAATACTGTACGAAAATTTGCCCTGGACCACAATTGCTGATAAAGTTGAAACTCGTTGTTATAGGCAATGCAGAGAAAAATGGTAAGAGCGCTTTTATACTGTTGATATTTTATCAAATTTTCTTTTTATATGAATTATATACATCCTTCTGACTTTTGTTTTCCTTTACCCCTAAGGATGTCCATACTCTTTACCCGAATGTCCTCAGGGACTACATTTAGAGGAAAAGCAGGTCTGCTGGCCAAAATTAGACTCATTAAAGCGTAAGAGATCTTGCATTGCTTGTGTTAACTTCTTTTTATTTGCTTGAATTGTACTATTATAAAATCATTGTAAAATAATGTTCTGTTGACACAGGATGTATGAAATGCAAGTGGAGGATGTTGCAGATATTGACTGGGAAAGTCTCACAGCTGCTTTCGGGTGAGAACTACTTGATGAGTATATCTAGGACAATAATAGGCATGGGCTGATATAAGATTCTGACGGTATGATAACCTTGGATATAAATATCACGGTTTCACAGTATCAAGGTATTGTGATTACTGCACTAAAATCTATTCTTTTTAAATGCCTGGGTAAAAAACAACGTTTTCCCCTTTGTACACAATATATTTTAATTTTAGAAACATTTATAATATTTTGGAACTGTAAACATGTCAGGATTAATAATTTAAATTAATTACTGACTTTTGCTGCCTTTTGCTGACTTTTCAGTTATTTCAAAAACACAAGATTTGTTTACAATTTAAAATCGCATCTTTGGATATGTTTTCTGCTGTCCTAAAAAAAAAAGTAAAAAATTTTAAAAATATTTTAGGAACAGTATTACAGAAAACTTTGACTTTCGTCCCATGCCTAGACAATATATCCATTATCTAGACAGCTCTTTTTCATATTCATTTTTAAAGGAACACTCCACTTTCAAGACAATCATTTTTACTCCTCTAGATAGTGCTTCTTGATCTAAAATTTTTTTGAAATTTGGACTAGAAACAAGAGCATTTTTAATGAAGAAAACCATTTTTTTCCAGCAAACATATCAAAGGACGCATGTACACTCAATGGCCATTTTTAGATACACCTGTCCAACTGCTCGTAAATACAAATTTCTAATCAGCCAATCACATGGCAGCAACTCAATGCATTTAGGCATGTAGACGGAACTATACTTCCGTACTATACAGTACGCTAAAATTAGTATGCGAGCTGAGTAGAATGTCCGAATCATAAAATTCGAAAATCAGTATGTGACTACTTTCGGCGAGATTCTGAAGTGCGCATCCTATGCATGCTGCGCTATCGAATGATGCCCCGCCATAGAATTCATTAATTGGGAGTGAAGCGACGCTACTGAGGCAGGTAGGTCACGTGACCATGACAAAATGGCAGATGTAGTACTTTCAAATTCCATTCATACTTTACACATTCATACTGTATAAAACATACTTTCTAATGGCCGAGTAGTATGTTAAAATTCAAATGCAGTGCCTACTGAGTAGTAGGCGGTTTCGGATGCATCCATAGTCTAGATGAACTGCTTCAGCTCAAACTGAGCATTAGAATGGGGAAGAAAGGGGATTTAAGTGACTTTGAATGTGGCATGGTTGTTGGTGCCAGGCGGGCTGGTCTGAGTATTTCAAAAACTGTTGATCTACTAAGATTTTCAGACACAACCATCTCTAGGGTTTACAGAGAATGGTCTGAAAAAAAAAAATCCTGTGAGTGGCAGTTCTGTGGGCACAAATACCTTGTTGATGCGAGAGGAGAGGTCAGAGGAGAATGACCAGACTCGTTCGAGCTGATCGAAAGGCAACAGTAACTAAAACTACCTCAGTGACCTCAGCTTGGGTGATGGGTGAGTCCACCCCTGCATCCCCACTCCCCAGTCTGCTTCCTCAACGAAAGACATGTTGGTGGGGTTAAGGAGATCCTTAAGGTTTCTTCCACCGTCCGACCACATCCCAAGTTGAGGAAAATCCCTCTGACTTGAGTTTCAGCCAGATGTTCCCAGAGGACCCTCACAATACGCTTGGTCCTGCCTGGTCTGTCCAGCTTTCCCCCTTGCCAGCGGATCCAACTCCCCACCAGGTGGTGATCAGTTGACAACTCTGCCCCTCTCTTTACCCAAGTGTCCAAGACATACGGTCAGAGATCCGATGATACAACCACAAAGTCGATCATTGACCTCCGCCCTAAGGTGTCCTGGTTCCATGTGCACTGATGGACACCCTTATGCTTGTACATGGTGTTAGTTGTAGACAAACTGTGATTAGCACAGAAGTACAATAACAAAACACCACTTGGATTCAGATCAGGGAGGCCACTCTTCCCAATCATGCCTCTCCAGGTATCACTGTCATTACTCACATGGGCATTAAAGTCCCCCAGTAGAACAATGGAGCCTTCAGTCTGAGCATCTTTCAGCACCCCTCCCAAGGACTCCAAGAAGGCCGGGTACTCTGCACTGGTGTTGGTCGTAGGCACAAACCGCAGTGAGAGACCTATCCCTGACCTGAAGGCGCAGGGAGGGGACCCTCTCGTTCACGGGGGAAAACTCCAACACATGGCGGCTAAGTTGGGGAGCTATTAGCAAGCCTACACCAGCCCCCAAACCTCTAACCGTCAGCAACTCCAAAATAGAAGGAAGTCCAGCCCTTCTCAAGAAGTTAAGTTCCAGAGCCCCAGCTGTGCGTGGAGGTGAGCCCAACTATCTCTAGTCGGTACCGTTACGCCCCTCGCACAAGCTCGGGCTCCTTCCCCTGGCGACGTCAAGGTCCTTGATGTTCTTGTACTCCTAGGGGTTTTTTGAACTGCACTTAGTCTCACCTGTCACCTAAGGTCTTTTTGCCTTGGGAGACCCTACTAGGGGCATAAGCCCCTGACAACATAGCTCTTAGGATCACTCAGGCACTCAAACCCCTCCACCATGTTAAGGTGGAGGTTCATGGAGCATTTTTCTTAATGTTGTGTTAATTTGCTGTAAATTAAATAATTTTACTGAACAATCTTAAGTGTGGTGATTCCATCATTTTTGGCAGGGGTTGTCGATGAGGAATTATATCACTAACTGAGTTAATGAAGCTGTAGTAAATGGCATCTGAGCAGTTATAGCCGTTTCCACTGAGTGGTTCAATTTGGTATGCTTTTATGGCCGTTTCCACTGTTTAATGGTCCGTTTCCACTAAGTGGTGCAATATGGTATGGGTACCAGTTTGTTTGGTGTGGTGTACAACAAAGTTTCAGTCGACGTCATTCTCGCTCGACGAAATGTCTACAGTAAAGCTGTACGGGTCGTTCACATATCATATGAGAATCATTTCTCACAAAACAGATGCATTATATACATAAATACTTGTGTATAAATGTTCATTACTAACCTTTATATGAACAGGATTTGGTAGTTGGTGCACTTTTGGTAGTGGAAATTCAAGCCTGATTAAGTTGACCCGTATTGTACCGTACTGTACTACTCAGTGGAAACAGGCCATTAACTGAGGCCGTACTCACATTATGTACAGTTGCCTCGAACCAGGCCAAAGCTCGCTTGTCCCCCCTCCCGTCTCCTCCGATGGCCCGCACTCACATACAATCGAGTCTGGGCACGCTTACGTCATCGATGCTGCGCTGTTCAGTAAGCGATGTCGCTCAGCACAGTGGAGATTTCTCTAGTTATATCGTATTAGTCGTTTGTTATGCAGTGACATGCAGTCAAATATTTCGCCAAACAGTCCTTAGGGATGCGTTGACACGCAGTCAGATATTTCGCCGAACAGATCCGCCACTTTTGGCGCTCATAAACAATCAAAAAGCCCTCGTGCTGCAGGAATGAGGAGGTTTTCTGAAAGAGCGCAGCTGTCATGCAGTGAAAGGTTTGCGTCTGTAATAAACTACGGCAGTTTGCATTCATTGAACTGTAATTGATTAATAAATCTATATGAAACAGTCCCTTAAAAGTCACGTCTCGCTTTCAGTTTCGGGCTTTGGCGCGTTTTGCACTCACACTACAAGCGTACCGCGCCAAAGCCCAAGTGAACCGCGCTCAGGCCCACCTCCTCCAACCGAGCCAGGGTCGGCCAAGTGAACCGTGCTTGAGCCCGATTCAGCGCACTCACATTTCTCAAACGATCCGGGAAATGGGCCTGGGCCACGGTACAGATGGTATAGTGCGAGTAGGCCCTGACACTTATTCCAGTTCCCTGCAAAACTAGAATAAAGCACCTGCTTGTTCAGGCGCACTCATGATGTTGGTGGTTTAAACATGCGTGGCGTAACATTTTTGTCCTTTGTGTCTCACAGAAATGTCCCTCCAGCACATGTTCAAAAAATGTGGCGCAAAATTAAAAACTACTATCTGCCAGATTGGAACAGCAGGAGTTTTAAAGGTTGGTTTTTTGTTTCATAGATGAACCACTGCTTTCTTTTGTTTTGCATAGTACACTTTAAAGATGGACAGATCTTTTGAGACTAGTCTTTTAAACAGCTTAATATCTCAGAAGACTTGTAAAGATTTCTAATGTACAATTTAAAACAAACAGTGCATGCAGTGACGAGCTGAATTGCTTTCTTTTATTGCATGTCTGTGTTGTGTTTTCAGACAATGTCTCACATCTCCATAAGAACATTTTGCCGTGCCTGGTGAGTAGTTGCAAAGGCTTTGATGTCAATGCGGTCAAGGTAGAGCAGAAGGAACTATTCCGGCTATCAAAAATTTTTAAGGACATTGAGGAAGATGGCCAGGACATTGAGGAAGATGGCCAGGACATTGAAGAAGATGGCCGTGATGGAGATGAAGAGACTGGCGAGCAGGAGAACAACAGCTTTAATTAATAGTGAGCAATCGGTCACGGTCTCCAGACCAATGATTTAAAAAAAAGAAGTTGTACATAGTTTTTATAAATTCGTTTTATTCTTGGGTTTTACAATTGAGCAGGAAATAAACTGAATCTGTCAAAGGTTTCTGAGGTTTGAAAAGTTTTCTGGACATCTAGTTTTTCTAAAAAAGGGTTCAAACATGGGTGATAGAGGTAAACAATGGGAGACAGCACACAGTGGCAGCATTTAGTCATCTTGGTGTAACATTAGATCAATCCTATTACATTTTCAGACGAGCCATGGCCCGATGCAGTGGGTCAGAACTTCATGGTCAGGTTCCCACCCCAAGAGTCAGCCTGTGAAGGTGGGAAATTCAAAGCTCTGCTTCACTGTAACAATAGGGGTCCTCTTATCTGGCAGGATCTGATTCATTAAATTAGGCTGCTAAATTGGTGAAAATTGGGGTCCTCACCTGATCATTTCCCATCCAAACAAAGACCTTGGGAACAAAGATGCAATCAGTAGCTTTTTTATTGCTAGTGTTATTTATAAATTATTAACTGCATAAATTTGTTCAATGTTTCTTCAGTCAAACTGCTCTGCTGGTATGAAGTGGCCTGGTCTGGTCGTGGCCCCAGGCGCGGAGACTTTACTGTACCAATGAAATGATACAGCAGAAAGCATGAGTCTTGCAGTTACCAAAGCAGGATGTCCCAGGGGTCTTAAAGTATTAAAAAGTCTTATATGCTATTTTGCAAGGTGTTAAATGTTTGATTATGCAATGTATGGTTGTATGCTAAAGTTTGCCTGAATTAAATCTGAATATTAGGATGCTGTGTAGTTTATGAAATCAATGAAATCCTGCTGGATTTGACCTCATGCTGCATTGTTGACTGCAGTTACCAAGGCAACACCATTATTTCTGCAGTTCTTTAGGCGTTTAGCCTGCTGAATGAGCTAGATTTAATAGATTTTAATTCAGCATTTGAATAACGTTTTAGTTTTTTTGGATTAATTACTTACACTATATGCAAGTGAACTAATGCAAGTTAAAATCTCGCCAGTGTTTTCGGTTTAAAAGTGGTTATAAGTTCTTAAGATTTATAGAAAGGTTCTTAAAAGGTTTTAAATTCCACTAACTGATTCCTGTATATACTCTGCAAAGGGGTGAACAGCAGTACTGCGCAACACTGACCACCACTTGCACATATCAGATCAGTTTATTTTCTTTTTTATTTTAGAACAATGAACCAATAAATACATAAGAATGATAGAAGACTTTGTTTTTGTGCATAGATCAGACACTAGTTACTTATAACATCACTTGTTTACCTTAATACTAATATTTATGGCTCCTTACCTTGAGGAAGCTTGAGGAAAATAACAGTATTATATATGAGTGTGAATGCAAGAGCATATGGGTGTTTCCCAGTGATTTACATCCACTGCGTAAAACATTTGCTGGATAAGTTGGCGGTTTATTCCGCTGTAGCGAGCCCGGATTATTAAAGAGACTAAGACAAAGAGAAAAAGAATGAATTGGATGCTCTGAACTGCATCTATGCACAAGAAAACAAGTGAAAGCTGCTCCATTTTAGCTAAATAAACATAAATTTAAAAAAAGATGTTGCTTGTTAAATACTTTAAAGAAACACGTCAGGCCTACCTGTTGGGTATATCTTCCCTTTAATGTTGTTATCAGCAGATCAGCTATGGAAGACGGCAGTGTGTTTCTGAGAAAATGAGCTTCTGCATGTACTGGGAGAAACGCCTTTCACATGTTTGCCTCATTTGCATACGAAGCCCCTCCCCCATCAAAACACGTCTTTCGAGGATGTTTCTTCCAAACAGCGTGCAGAGTTTGCTGTATAACACTGTTATAATACTATATATTTAGAGATGATTAAATACACAGTATATGTTTACAGTGTTATGAAGTTACACATCGTTACACCTGTCATAATGATATATGGGAGACTTTGGGAAACTGCATTTCATAAAATATCTAACACAAACACTAATGTTAAAAACAGTAAAACCATCAATTTTATTTGTGTTATGTAGTGCAATTAAGATAATTTTCCTAACCATTTACCATTTTTGAGGGAGCACTGTTGATCTTAGTGTGTGTGAGAGAAATATTAGGACACATTTTGTATAATTACGAGACTGGTATTACAAGGAAAATATGACTTATGAGGACATTGCCCCTTTCCCTATTTTCAAAAGGCTTGTAATTGTAAATAAGGCAGAATGAGTTTTTTTTTCATCTTCAAAAAGAAAGTAAAAACAGTTTCCTGTGGGGGTTGGGTTAAGGTTTGAGGTAGGGTGATAGGAAATGCCATTTGTAGTGTGTAAACAATGGAAACTCACTATGTCCTGACAATTCACTTAACCATACGTGTGTTTACAGTGTGTTTGTGTGTTTACAGATTGCATGAAACACCTAAAATGCATATACAGTTGAAGTCAGAATTATTAGCCCCCCTGAATTATAGGTGCCCCTGTTTATTTTTCCCCAATTACTGTTTAATGGAGGGAATTTGTTTCAGCACATTTCTAAACATAAAAGTATTAATCAATTTCTAATAACTGATTTATTTTATCTTTGCCATGATGACAGTACATAATATTTTACTAGATATTTTTCAAGACACTTCTATACAGCTTAAAGTGACATTTAAAAGCTTAACTAGGTTAATAAGGTCAACTAAATGCAATTCTATAACTTTGGTCTATAATCTGAGTTAAGGGTATTTTTAGGGTGTAACAGGGTATTTTAAACTCAAAACATGTAAAAATGTGTGGCTACTTGCCTTGACCTTTATGACATTTAAAGAAAATACGATTTCTGGTCAAAAAATCGTATCTAAGTATGACTTCTAACCATTTTAATTGGCTGTAGCCTAAATAATAGTCTTTGACAGTCCAAAAAAATTTCCAAATAAATACTTTTTTGAAATGATATTATTAAAGATAATGTCTGAATGTGTGAATATAAAACCAACTTTACCCCAAAGTGGGAGCTTCACACGAGGATGATCATATTTGTGAGTGTGTGTGACATCTAGCACAGACTCCCAAAGAGACTGAGAAGCTCTGCTGCATCAAAATATATGTAAAGCTTTTAGAACAATCGCAAATAATAATTTAAACATTTAAATTCATGTAAATGTCTATTATGTTTATTATATTTTCTCTGTCAGAAAACTTTGTAACACCGCTTACACTTGAGCTGTAGTGCTGCTGCGTGTCCAGTAGAGGGGAGTGTAGTGTAATGCACTATGTCGCCATAGATGTCGCTATTCTCACTGTTTTCATCACAGCAGCAGCACTTTTAGAGGAAGAAAGCGGCCGGACGGCTCACAGACGCCAAGAACCAACCCAAGCCTCCAAAAACCACTTGAATTAATATTTTTAGGTAACGGATACGCACATCACAAGATCATTTTCAACACACTGTGCTCTAGAATACATGTAATCCACTGTTTTACCGATTTACGCGTCTTATTCTGAGAGTAGCTGTTAGCTTTAGCATCTCTGGGTTTGGTTCAGCGCGAGGTCAGCTAACGCTAACTAGCCCTTTAATACTCAATGTAAACAGATTTTCTGTCTAAAATGCGACGTAAAAACGGAAGGACTGCTTATCTCTTCGTTAAAAAAACGACTTTATGGGGTGAATTGTGCTAGGTGTGGTCCATCATCTAGCTGTGAAAGCTTTGACAGGAGTGTGATTAGCTGATTAGTCAGTCATGGCGCTGGCTGATTGTAGAGCTGCAGTCAGTGTTTATGCTGTTTTAGCTCCAGTGTCACGTTACTCTGTGCTTGTATACGTTACAAATAATGTAATTATCTTGTTCGCGTGTCATCTTGTAAGTTGTTATTATCATCCCGGATTCCTCCCGGCCTTTCATTGGCGATATTAGGCGGAGTAATGGAGGAAAAGGGAAATGTGTCGTTAGACAATAGTAGGGCAGCCGGTCAGCTGAGCGCCGCTGGATTGCTGTCACTGTGCTTTCGCTGCTGTGTATGCTTTAATTTATATACATAAAATCTACTGTTTATGAGATTTTGAGCTTTGTCTCTTTTTTTCTGTCTGCTTTCTAGAGCCAAAATGACGACCGCACCATATAACTATTCCTATATTTTCAAATATATCATTATTGGTAAGTCAGCATCCTGTTTTCACCTATATGTGCCTTTTTGTAAGATACATGCACAGTATATTGCGTTTCATACGATGCAATGTATAGTCATTAAGCACATTTGAAAATCTGGTTGACCAGAGTGCTGTACAAAGTAAAAATAAGAATATTAATGCAGCTAAAATAGAAGTAATACATCAAAAATTGTAATAAGCATGCTGTAACCAATGTAGTTTAATTTTCTTTTCACTTCAAATGACTTTGTGTTAATTGTGTATGATTGTGTGGTGTTTTCATAGGTGACATGGGGGTTGGCAAGTCCTGTTTACTCCACCAGTTCACAGAAAAGAAATGTAAGTGCAAGGGGTGGTGGCATAGACTGATACCGAGATGTTATAAAGGGATTATATGATATATTCAAGGGATCGTTCACTCAAAATAGTATGTTTACACACTATTTATTCACCCTCAAGTGGTCCCAAACCTCTATGACATTCATTATTCTGTTAAACAAAAAAGAAGGGTATTACTTTATTTTTATGGTCCCTTTAATGCATTTGGTTGAGTTTAAGTTACACTGCATCCACATGCCAACTAATTCTCTTCAGATTGTAAGTAGACTGCTAGGTTGGGGTTTGTGTTAGTTGACATGTACTTGCAACGTTTCTTATAGTCAGTTAAATGTCTGTTGAAGGAGCAGTAGCAGAAGATAGTCTACTAATACTCAAATGAGAAGTAATTGGCCTGTAGTTACAATTCAACTTTTAGTCAAGAAAATGTACAAAAAGGACCATCAAAATAAAATCTTACCAAAAGTAGATTTTGTAAAGAATGCTGAAAACTGGGAACCATTCACTTCCATAGTAGGAAAAACAAACACTGCCAATGGTTACAGATTTGCTTAATTTTTGCAAAGTGTCTTCTTTTGTGTTCAACAGTAGAAAGAATTAGAGGTACTTTATTACAACATTACAGTTACTGTGTAACAATAATAACTGTATTTACATTACAGAGAGGGGAAGGCTAGCGTTGGGGTGGGAGTAGAGTTAATAAAATAATCATTAGTAGGTCATTTTAATAAATAATAAAAATAATTCTTAATCTAAGAATCTCAAACAGATTTGGAAGAAGTAAATGATTTTTCAGTTTTTGGTGAAGTATCTCTTTAATAGTTGGGATATTAGATTTTTTGTTTTGATTCCTTAGTAAATTATTATTTATTATAATTATATTGCTTTGTGATAAGAAATTAATAAATATTTATTCATATGTATGCATATATGTACATATGTATGTATGTATGTATGTATGTGTGTGTGTGTGTGTGTATATATATATATATATATATATATATATATATATATATATATATATATATATATATATAATTTTTTAAGTAGCAAGAGTTAAATAAAATTGAAGACTTAACAGATATTTATATCACAGTACAATTAATAAATGCTGCTAATTACAAGTCTTGTGTAATGCTATAATCATCTGTCCACAAAAATTGAGATTACGCAATTGCTGAAACAAAGTGTGACTGGAATGATGGATTTCAAAAGGCCCATATATATATTTCATTTAAAATCAAGGAAGAGCTAGTGTGGCATGATTTTCAGACAGAATTGGTTTGTTTTAACCAACAATTAGCTTGAACCTAGTCTCTGTTGTCCTCTTTCCTGATTACTTTGAGGGCAAGGCTAATGAGTAGGTTCAAATATTGATTTTCCCAATTTATTTTGTAGTTGAATATTGTGAAATATAATCATACACTATCAACATGTGACCTTTAAAAGATGGGAAATGTAAAATGACAGGGAGCAACAGCTTTTATTTTGTTCAGCAGCCAACCACTCAGGCTGCTGTTGGTTTGTTTTAGAATCAGAACTGGTAAGGGAACATTTGTCTTTTGCTTATACAATATCAGATGACATAGTTTGGCTTGTACATTTCAACATGTCCTGTGATGTTTAAAAATGGAGTATATGCAGAGCTGGTGTTTTTCAGCCAACAACAATCTTCTGGAGAAAGATTAGTGTTATTTATATTTTTATAAAGTTCCATAATCATAAAACGAGATGAAAAGCTGTCTAAACATAAACGCCATCAGGAGCAGCAGGCGATCACAGAAACTACATTGACAATACTGTGGGAAAGTAAATGTCCGTTTTAAAGACTTAGAGCAGAACAGTGAAATTTAATGCAGTGCTTCTTGTCTGGTCTGAGAGCTACTTTATTGTATATTAATCAGGCAGTGACGATCATTGATTTTTAAAGAAACCAGATATTAAACGCTGCACTTTTGTAATGGCATGACTGAAAGCATTTGAGCTGGCTAAAATTAAAAGTCCTTCTGCATAAACCCCATTAAATGACATCAGTTGATGGAAAGGTCTTTAGTGGAAACCAAATGCATTTGAACACATGAAGCCAAATCAAGACGGTAAAAGTGGACAAGCTCGAAACATTTCAGACACTGCCTATCATCTATTTTTAGAGTTTGTAAATAATTCCAACAAAAAAATCAAGCTAAAAAATCCATCTACAGTAACAGCAGATGTAAACATGGCGTCAGACAAATATGAACACAGAAAAGCTGCAGAATAATAGAACTGCCCCTCAATCTAGAAGAGAAACTAAATTTAACATCTGCATATTGGAGCCTTAAGACAAGTAAAACTTGAGTTTGCATCATTTAATCAAGATCCTGAGCTGCTCACAGAACAGCAAACACTTTAATCTGACATGGAGACAGAAGAGACAGAAAGCACTGATGTTTTGAAAACGCTACTAAATAGAATTTATCCTTTGTATATTAGTTATTGATTGCCGTGGTTTTAATCAAAGAGAGTTATGACAGGTCAATTTATCATGTCTAATATCAGTTTTCTTTTTATTTTTAAGTTATGGCTGACTGTCCTCATACAATCGGTGTTGAGTTTGGCACACGGATAATTGAAGTGAGTGGGCAGAAGGTGAAGCTTCAGATTTGGGACACGGCAGGTCAGGAGAGGTTTCGTGCTGTCACACGCAGCTACTACAGAGGAGCCGCTGGGGCCCTCATGGTGTATGACATCACCAGGTAAACTAATGTTCAGCTCTGATTGCATGGTTGATTTGCGAATGATGTCTTATTTTTGCAAGGCATCAAGAAAATAACTGAATTTGTTTTTTATTTGCAGGCGAAGCACGTACAATCACCTTAGCAGCTGGCTGACTGATGCCAGGAATCTCACCAACCCCAATACTGTAAGTTCACTGACTACATACTTCATACTGGCTGTATGAAGAAGACTATAAAACATTTACATTTAAAGGTCCTGTGAAGTGCTTTAAAATGTGCATTTTTATTTGATGTTTGACACAATCTTAATGGAACATAAATAGAGGGTGGGGCATAGTGTAGCCCCTCTATCTTAAAAAAAATAGCCTTTAGTGTTGTTTTATCACCGCTCTGCCAGCAAAGGATTGAGCTCAAGAGCATCAAATGAAAAGCAAATGCGAGTCCTGAACGGGGCGGGACATGTCAAATACTAGAGAGCATTTGATTGGTTATGATTTTATGAGTAACTGTAGTATGGGTTGACGTGAAAAAAAAAAAAAACATTTATCAATTTAGGTGAAAATGACAACCTACAAGCTTTACATGTTTATATCAGTTTAATATTTTCTAAATGGGAATTTTGTCCCTTTTTGCGGCACACTAGCTAATAGATATAATTGAAAAACTAACAATATTGATACTAACATATACAAAACGTAATTTTAATTTCTCTGGACCTTTAAGTATACAGTGTTGGAGCTTTATACATGTTTTAACAGCTTATGTTGTGTGCTTAATCGCCTTAAACAATGTAAATAATTCTTCAGGTCATCATTCTAATCGGTAACAAAGCAGACCTAGAAGCCCAGCGAGATGTCACATATGAAGAGGCCAAGCAGTTTGCTGAAGAGAACGGTAAGATGCTTGTTTGAAAAGGGAAAATGAAATACAGAACATTTAGGGGATTTGTATTTAGGCTTTTTATTTAGTGGTTTACAACAATGAGTATGCAGGATAATGATAGTAATAAATACTAAGTTGATTTCACCATTAAATAATCAGACTAGATTAAAACGTTAAAAATTAATATACAAAATCATATTTTTTTTCACATTTTCTTGGTAAGTGTTTTATTGAAGAACATACACTTCTGCAATACAGACTGAAGATGTGTCATGGGCAAGGCCAGACAGAGTCTTCAGACATTTACTTTTTTCTGCCATTTCTGTGCATTTTTTGTTAAAAAATAAAATGTGCAGATTTTTGCGAAATGATTTTGAGAGTATAGAAACAAAAAAAATAACACATGAAAGCAGGAAACAAATAACCACTTATTAACTTTTATCGAAGGTTTACAATGCAGATCCTATTAAAACCACGTTTACCACATCTCCACTAAAAGACTACAAACTATTGTACATAAATTATATAAAGATTTGCATAATATTCAATAATATTACTAATATTTATATAAAAAAACTAAATAATTGTTTACACAAGTAAATAAGTAGACTCCATAATGGGCTAAAAATCTGCAGATTTCTGCAGGTGTGGATTCTGTGTGTTGGGTCTAGTCATGGGTAATTAAATTAACATCATTATTCATTATGTAATAGCCAGAGCAACAATCAGGATTCAAACGTAAAAATTTATTTTCTCCTGTAGGGCTCAACAATAAGGACTGCCCGATGGCCAGGGCACTCAGGACAGTAGACAGGATTGTTACTGGCCCAATATGTGCTGCCTTGTATTATTTTATAAAAGTTTCATTTGTCTCCGATTATTTGTCAATTGCGTATGAATACAGTCTTACAATCGAGAAACAGTTTGTGCTTTTAAGCCTTTAAATGCCACCTTCTCTGTTCAGTTCCTCTTATCTGATTGGATGTTGTGATTTCTTTTTTTGTAACCTGGTATAAACCAGTACAGCGAAGTGACGGCAACATTAAATGATGAGGCTAAAAGAATGTCTTGTAAGCAGACATTTACATGAGTACAACGCAACGATTTGCTCATTATGCATTTATTAACATTTAAAAAATATTTAAATTCTAGATTCAAACACATTTTTGACACAATATTTAAAACATAAGAAATAGCTATTAACTTTTTTTATTTTTTGGTGGGCCAGTGAAAATATTGCCAGGGCAAGTAAAAAATCTAAACTGCTGGCCCAATTGGGCCAGTAGAAAAAAATCCTTAGTGTTGAACCCTGCCCTGGGAATGTTATTTTAAACCAGAGCTGTGGTAAAAAAAAAAAAAAAAGTTGTTTGAGAAACCAAATTTGCATCAACAATGCAACAGATTTTCGAAATGCATCATTATTCCCTCTTAAGTTCGATTCTGAGAAGGAGCTTTTGGTCCATAGGAAGTGTGCTTATACATTCCACTCATGCAAGATGGCTTTTTATGTAATGATATGAATTTAAAGAAAGCTCACTATGAACACTCTTGCACATGTAAACCTTTCCTACCTTCAGTAATGGTCATTTTAGGTTCAAGTGGTATTTGCAGAGAATTAAATGCAAGCAGAGTACGTCTGTTTGTAAAGCATACAGCATCTGCTGTTAAAACTAAACTCTTAAATCAATTCAAGAGAGAAAAGCGATGCACTTTGAAAATCTCAGAGTCAAATTGTTGATTTATTTTTAACAAGAACTAATATTTAAAAATTCAAGACATTTTAAGACAGACCTGTTATTAATTGATTGTATATGCTTTTGTTTAACTCATACTTGCGCATCATTTCAACTTCATTTTAAAATGTTTAATAACAGAAATTAAGGAGAAAACTACATTACCCAGAAAATTCCATGCATGGTTTCCGCTACATTCATTCTTCCATGCTGGGGCACCACTCCAAAATTGATCCGCTATTGCTACATTGCAACTTTTCATTCAAAACATTCAGTCATGTTTTTTAAATGATAATCTAATAATTGCACCAAAACGTATTAAAAGGTAAGTGAATTATAACAGGGCAAACTTTTCTGTAACTGTAGTAGTGCTGTGCATCATTTCTTTAACCCTTTAAGATTACGTGCTGACTGACAGGTGCATGATGCGTGAGACCAGCAAACACAACGTATAACCATTTCGCATTACTTCAGGACGCATTAATATCGCTCTGTTGGTCTATTGGAGACATTTATAAATATTCCCAGCAAATCTAATAAATCTTGAAGACATACTTGTTACATAAATGCATTAAATCACACTTTAGCAGCGTTTATTTGAGAGCGCACAAGAAGATCTGCGCTTGAGCAGTGTATATTTGAGGGGGCGCGCAATAATTTTGTATATGAACAATGGAAATCGGCGCGCAAGCAAAGAGATTCGCATGCTCGTAGGCTATTACATAAATGCGATCGCGACATTTGTCATTGAAATAACGCCACAGGTAGTTGGTAGATCTGTGTAAAAGAGGCCTGCCACCACAGCTGGAAAAAAATCCAAGAGGAAACACTGCCACGGTCACAAAGTTGAATGTGATTCCTCTCATAGCTGGTTGGTTTAGTTCATAACACAAAACAGACTTTTTGTATTATATTAATGGGGAAAATACTTTGTACTGTAAAGTAGATGTGGTCTTAATTATAAGAGAAATATGAACAGGCTCTTCTAGTCAAAAAGGTGGAGTTCCACTAGTTATTCATTTAATGTTTCACTAACTTGAGCACAAGCTTGCTTGTTGCTAAATAAAATTAACTACAAGGCTAAAACGTTTAACTGTGGCATTTTTAATCTTTTGAAACAGGTTTGTTGTTCCTTGAGGCAAGTGCAAAAACGTAAGTGACTTTCAGACCATCTGCTGTCAGAGCCTCCTCTCTTTATCTGTCATAATATCCTTCACATTCTAGCTCATCTTTGCGTGTCTGTTCAACAGAGGCGAGAATGTGGAGGATGCTTTTCTGGAAGCTGCCAAGAAGATCTACCAGAACATTCAGGACGGCAGCCTGGACCTGAACGCAGCCGAGTCAGGGGTCCAGCACAAGCCCACCGCCCCGCAGGGAGGGCGGCTCAGCAGCGACGCACAGCCCCAGAAAGAGGGCTGCAGCTGTTAATGACCATGGAGACTTCTCTCTCTATCTCTCTCTCTCTGCTCCTTCCTCTCCCACAAATCCCACCTGTATCTAAAGCCTCTCCCCCCCGCAGTGTGATTGCTCGCAGAGGCCTGACGGCTCTGTGTGATGGAGGTGTAACATAATTCATTCACTCATTCCTTCCTTACCGCTCTCTTCTTTTCCCTTCTTCTCCTGTCTCCTTCCCTCACTTGTTTTGCTTGTTTCTCATACACGCACACATCCCAGTGCTCCCAGCAAGCACTCGAGGGAGGACGGCGGCTCCTCTGCTGAACACTAATCCTAAAGAGAGAAGATGATTGTCGATAAACTGAAGAGATGCTGGGTTTATCCTTTTACAGACGTGGTGATGTGCATAACTATAAACTAAACCATCTCAATGTACAGGAGCTGTCTGAATACTAGCGTAATGTAAACCAAACATTGGCAAACCTTATTCATGATGTCACAGGTGATCAGAGGACATGCGTCAACACTGTATGTAACATTGTTTTTGTTAAACAACAACGATGACGAAAATCTATAACTAAACTATTGTATTCTGTTTTAAATTAGTTTTGTTTCTTTCCAGTTTCACATTCAATCACCAAATATTTATCCCTGTTTGTACCTATTCAGGAAGTAATATACATGTAATATACAAGATTAGTATTGTTTTGAGAGGAATTCCAATGGGACGGTCCATTGTAAAACAAACAAAAAAAAGGTCGATTCAGACAGTTATTTTAACCTAGTAACTGTTAGAGTAATATATTGAAGAGGACAGGATGATTTTTAGGTCGTGAAGAATGTTTTCCGGACTTTGCAGTTTTGATTTGGTTTTTCCTGAGGGTCTGGAGCTTGTTTTGTGTTTATTATAGTCTTAAGTCTGTCCAGCTTTCAGATCTCCTGTTTTCGAGCAGCTTTAAAAATCAAAGCAGCTTAAGAAGCAGACCGACAGGAGAATATTCCAGATTCAGGCCCTCGTCATATCAACACATTCACGTTGTTTTTACATTGATGATTTCAGTTGCCTTATGATTTGCTTTTGTTCACTCTGATGTGCTGCCCGTTTTACTCACGATGAAAGTTTTATCGAATGAATTCCAGCGATTTTTGCCTTTCATATGCATTCCATTAAACCGATTTCCAAACACTGATCATGTTTTCCGCTGAGCTGAGTTTCTTAAGCATGATGCATGGCTTTTTACAGGCATCAGGGTTCCCCCTTCCCTATAGGGAGTCATGAACGCCCTATAATCTATGAATATGTAACAAATTTGCCACCATAGCATGAGAAACATCATTATGGAGAAACTCGGCCCACAAACTTACCACCACAACTACAATGGGCTGATGCGTCAACCAGTTTGGTTCTCCATAGAGGCACATTTGCAATGAACAGATACAAAGGCAAAAACCCGAGCACTCCAAATTTGATTTCTTTTCTATTCAGATTTGTGGTAGATTTTAGGTGTGTTTTGTAAACTGAGAATCCACTTTTAATTTGCTCCTGTTGTCTTGCTTTATTTTTTTTCACATCTTAATGACATCTGCGAAAATTAATCTGCTCTTGAACTCAAGTTTGTCTTCTGTAAGTGACTTTTTCTTTGTAATTATGTTAATAAAAACAATACTGTATACTGTGTTTCTCTCCGCACACTATTGATCCGCACTTGTGTATGAGCAATAACGACATATGATACAGCTCGACGAGAAGATAGAAAACTCATTGTATTGCACATATCTGAATACAAAGTGTATATAAAGAAGTGCTGTAATAAATACTCTGCATATCTTGGCATTGGATACACGTTAATTTGTGACAACAATGTAAAAATGAACATTGATTCCGAAGGGCATTCGGGGTTTTGTCCCCGCAGTTCACAATGAGTGTTACGATAAGGTGAAACCCGAAACCTTCCTTCAAGTGTCCGTTTCACCTGTAAACACTCAGAACACCCACTACTTTACCATGAGCAAGCAGTTCAAAGGCACACTTTTGTAAAAAAAAAATATTTCACAAGGCACCAAATCAGAGGTAGAGAATAAACTTCCATCTTCATTTTACCTCAGGTTTCAGCTTCCCTATTTGTAGCGGGAAATCGACGGTCAACTATTTTCTTTTTTAAGCTGTAGTATATCCAGCCTCAGTGCTCTTTCTGGTACCTGCAGAATCAAACTGCTCCTCTGACTGCATCTCCTTTCATAATCTGACAGAAATAATGGGACTTTTTCCTTTCATGTATGTGAAGTAAAGTGCTAATGAATGCTTATTTCAATTCAAAAGGATCAGCGGACCATTTCTTCCGATCTCGTCCATTGGTGTGTTTTGGCAGAAGTTCCTGGTCAGACAGATAAGAGCAGTCTTTGGAAGAGCTGCCGAGGAGCTGGTCTAGTTTGTCCACGCGTCTGCGCAGGCCCTGAATGCTGCCCTCGGTCTGCAGTCTTCGCTGACTCAGAGCCTCCTGCTGGGAGAACATGCGTCTGCGCAGCTGAACCTGCAAACCATAAACAACCAAATCACACAGTTACAGTTGGAAAATCTGTGTATCACAGAGGTGTCCAATTCTGCTTTTGGATAGGTTAAATAAATTCTTGCAGAGTTTAACTCCAACCTGGACCAAAACACTTGCTTGGGCAATGGGCGTTTCTTTGTTTCTGTTTAACACTAAAACCACTAGTAGTCTACCTAAAACCGCCAGTTATATGGCTAAAAAATGTACTACGCTACTGTATTATATGCTCAGAGCTGGGTGTAACTCGTTCCACGGAAATGCATTACTGTGTTCTAATGACATTCTTGGTGCTGCACATCTTGTATCTTCACACCATAGACAATTGCCTTCAGATGACCCCAAAGATAAAAGTCTGAGGGGGTCAGATTGGGAGACCTTAGGGGCCATTCAATTGGCCCACGACGACCAATCCACTTTTTAGGAAACTGTTCATCTAGGAATGCTCAGACCTGACACCCATAATCTGGTGGTGCACCATCTTGCTGAAAACACTCAGAGAACGTGCCAGCCTTAGTCCATAAAGAGGGAAACACATCCACATGTAGCAATTTCAAATATCCAGTGGCCTTGAGGTTTCCATTGATGAAGAATGGCCCCACTATCTTTGCTGTCTATGGTGTGAAGATGTAAGATGTGCAGCACCTGAACCTACGGATACTGGAAGCCTGTGCTGGCATTTCTCCTGCGATGTTGCTATCAGTGTGTGAAGAGTGGGAGTAGAGGGTTGCATTGACAATCCAACACAATGGGCAGCACACTGAACACATTTTATAAGTGGTCAGAAACTTGTAAATAACTCATGAAAGAATAAAGTTTCGTTAAAACGTGTTAGCACACCATTGTTTTTCTTGTGAAATTCCCAATGAGTTTGATGTGTTAAATGACCCTCTTCCTATTGAAAAAACAAAAGTTGGATCCAAGATGGCCGAATTCAAAATGGCCACCATGGTCACCATCCATCTTGAAAAGTTTTCCCTCTCACATATACTAATGTGCCACAATCAGGACGTCAATATAACCAATTATTCTCATTTGATTAAGGTGTATCCATATAAATGGCCCACCCTGTCCATTGTATGTAGTGGCTATACATTTGGTTTTGTGTTTTGCTGACTTCTAACAGACTTCCCTGCTAAAAAAATCCAGCTTAAACCAGCCTAGGCTGGTTGGCTGGTTTTAGCTGGTCAACCAGGCTGGTTTTAGAGGGGTTTTGGCCACTTCCAGGCTGGTTTCCAGCCATTTCCAGCCTGGTCTTAGCTGGTCAGGCTGGGAGATGACCAGCTAAAACCAGCTTGACCAGCATAGCCAAGCTGGGAGTCCAGCCAAAATCAGCTATATCCAGCTTAAACCAGGCTGGTCAAGCTGGTTTTAGCTGGATTTGGCTGGTAATTTTCCAGCCTTACCAGCTAAGACCAGGCTGGAAATGGCTGGAAACCAGCCTGGAAGTGGCCAAACCCCCTCTAAAACCAGCCTGGTAGACCAGCTAAAACCAGTCAACCAGCCTAGGCTGGTTTAAGCTGGATTTTTCAGCAGGGTTGGCTAAAACAAAGCTCTACTTGGGCTGTCAGTGTAAATCTAACAGTTCAAAAATACACAAGTCATCAAACAAATCATGCACACTGTGTAATTGCAGACTATGAGGTTATTCATTCGTCTAAATTTATGTTTATGTACAGACATCTATTAAACACAATAAATGCTTGCTGGTTTTAATCGTTAAGGACTAATTCCTGAAGAGTAAATTCTAACTAATTTGATCAGATTCTGCATGACAGAAGCTCTCCAGGAGAAAAGCTGAGCACATTTTGACATTGTATCATTTGTAGTCGAATGATATTTGTAGCTTCACCTTCAGGTGGTCCTCCTGCTGCCTCAGTCTCTCTCTCAGCGCTTCTCCTCGCCACTGTTCATCCTGTTAACAGCAAATTATCAACATTAGCCTGTGTACTGCATCTATGCTCTTGATGCATTACTGACACTTAGTTTGCAAATGCACTAGATTCAAATAATGCAAAAGCATAAACATGATGTGAGAGCTAGAGACAACATATCGAGTTCAACGGAATGATCAGATATTTCAGGTATATGAAGAATTAAAACTTAAAAAGAAAGACTGACTTCAGTGTTGTATGCCGGATTCCCCATGGAGAGTGTAACAGCAGGCCGGTTCTCTTTCAGGCTGTCAGTGTCTGAGGAGGCACTAGAGGGCGTCTCGAGCTCCGCTGTGCTGCGGTTGATCTCCCAGAATGCACTACTGCTCTCCTCCTCCTGCTTCTGCAGCTGAGAGAAGCACATGACAGTCATTCACTCCTGTCCTGCTCGCTCATAACCACACAGCAACATCACATGAGCTTCAGAAATCACTCCAGACAAAACTAGCAGAACAAGTAGAGCCAATTTGTGTATCTGCAGCAGATCCACTGCTCATTTGCGGTGAAAATTACTGTTTGAACTGTGTCTTTGAGGCTGAGGAGCTCTTGGGAAATGGTGCCGAGCTGTTTTTGTAGTGTTCTGGCTTGTTGGTGGTTTTCTTGGGCAGATTTTTCGATAGTCAGCAGGTCACTTTGGAGACGCACGCGATCCTGAAACAAGCTCTAGTTAGTAAATATTAGAGATGGAGTAGTAATAAAAAGACTGTCAAAAACAAGAATGTTAAAACAATAATGTGAACACAATATAATGAACCATGACAATGTCATATTAAGACAATAACAGTACTGGATAACTGCTTTATTAAATATGCTTTCATTTATCCTAGTTTTTCAAATATTATTTTAGTGGCATTGGTCTTACAATTGGCAGATATATCAGTCGAATAAGGTTGCAGTGGGTAGCATGATCGCCTCACAGCAAGAAGGTCGCTGGTTTGAGCCTCGGCTGGGTCAGTTGGTGTTTCTATGTGGAGTTTGCATGTTCTCCCCGTGTTGGCATGGGTTTCCTCCAGGTTTCCGGGAGATTATCACTCCTTTGCGGGCATTATGAATGCCACAAATGCATAGAAACTCCCGGAACGTCCGGGAGACTTGGGATGTCAGAACAACACATTTAACAACTGTAGTGAGAACCAATCCAGCTGTAAATCCTTCATGAACTCTCTGACGTGTACTGCTCCCTGCCTGGAGCTCAGAGGAGCGCATGACAGCGTGTGGCTGTGTGTGTGTTTGGTCATGTGATGTGCGTTTTGAGGGGACGGAGGGCTGTTCAGAAATGCTAGGTAAAACGGTGTGGATGTGGATCATTTTCTTTCTAAAATGCCATTTTAACACTAAGACGTATTAGTGTAAACAGGGCTTGAGTGTGTATTTTTCGCGAGTGGCTTTGCAACGGGGGCGGGGTGATGGATCGTGATGCTGGCTCAGCATTGTGTTGTCTATTGGCCATCAGTGATGGATGATGGCATCGTCTATCGGCCGAACCCTAGTAAAGGTGAATTGGGTAAGCTAAATTGTCCGTCGTGTATGTTTGTGAATAAGTGTGTCGATGTTTCCAGTGATGGGTTGCAGCTGTAAGGACATCCGCCACGTAAAACATGTGCTGGATAAGTTGGCGGTTCATTCTGCTGTGTTGACCCCTGATTAATAGGGACTAAGCTGAAAAGATAATGAATGAATGAATCAGTCGAATAAGTTTTATAATGCTAAAATTATAATAAATTATTCTAAAACTATTTACAAAGAGAAATAGCCAGAGGAGAAATGGCCAAGCCTGACTGAGGCTGGTTTCTCTCAAGGTTTTTTTTTCCTTCACTTTCGTCAATTGGTGAAGTTTTGTTCCTTGCCACTGTCGCCACTGGTTTGCTTGATTCAGGACTTATGGAGCTGCGCATCGATGACTTTGCTCTTCAGTGTTTGGACTTTCAGCCGTGAAAGTTAAACCACACTGAACTGAACTGAACTTCAACTCTGAAAACTGGACTGACAGTTTCAGTTTACTAGAACTTCTATGTTAAGCTCCTTAGAAACAATCTACATTGTAAAAGCACTAAAGAAATAAACCTGAATTGAATTGAATTAAAATGCCTTGTTTTCATTGTATAACATTAAATAAAAAATGCTGCACAGGTAACTAAATAAAATAAGCGTATAGTGACGTATTTAAATAAAAGTAAATAAACATTATAATGAAAATGTTTATTATATCATTATTTTTTCCTTGCTAATTTTCATTTCATTTGTAAGTTGACTACCACATATTATTTATATTCATATTATTACCATGTATGATTTACGCCGTTTGTGTGTTTGTGTTGTTATAAAGAAATAAAAACAATAATAATGTTTTTTTTTGTATTAAGCAAATGAAATAAATGAAAGTTATTTTGGTAACACTTTACAATAGGTTCATTCATTAATTTTCCTTCAGCTTAGTCCCTTTATTAATCTGGGGTCGCCACAGCGGAATGATGCGCCAGCCTATCGAGCATATGTTTTACACAGCGCATGCTCTTCCAGCTGCAACCCAGTACTGGGAAACATCCATGCACACTTATTCACACACTTACACTACGGCCAATTCAGTTTATTCAAATCACCCATAGTGTATTTCTTTGGACTGTGGGGGAAACCAGAGCACCCGGAAGAAACCCACGCCAACACAGGAAGAACATGCAAACTACACACAGATATGCCAAATGAATCAGCTGGGATTCAAACCAGAAACCTTCGTGCTGTGAGGGGACAGTGCTAACCACTAGACCACTGTGTCGCCCACAATAAGGTTGTATTAGTTAATGCTAGGGCCAGACGGAATCTGCGGACGTTTTTGCTATTTCTGCAGAGAATTTTGGGAAAAGTCTACGGATTTCTGCGGAATTATTTTAGGATTATCGTAACTAAAACATAATAATATTTAATTAAACATAATAATATATAATTTATTTCATAATATATGAAATAAAAAATAAAATCTTTTTAAACTTTTATTTAATGTTTAAAATGCAAATCCAATTAGATTCACTTTATTTGGTAAATAAAGCAAGTTTTTCATATAATATATCTATTAAAAGACAGAAAATAATACTGTACAAACTGCATTGTACATAAATCAGATGAACATTTTTATATTAGTCAATAATATTACGGTAATTAATTAAAAAACTTAATAAATATAGATTTACACACATTTACACAAGTAAATAAAAAAAATAACAATGGGCTGAAAAACTGAAGAATTCTGCACACGTAGATTCCGGGTGGGCCTAGTTAATGCTAATTTGTGCATTTACTAACATAAACAAACAATGAAAATACATTCATTACAGTATATGTTTATGTTAGCTAACATAATTTCATGACAATACAGTGGTTCATTGTTAGTAACTAATGTTATCAAGCATGAATTTGGATGTTAATAATGTATTAGTAAATATTTGAACTATGATTAATAAATGCTGTACATGTTTTGTTAATAATTAGTTCATATTAGTAAATACATTAACTAATGAAACTTTCTTAAAAAGTGTGACGGCTATTTAAAAAAAACTCAACAGAAATTAAAGAAGCAACTAACAAATAAATAAATAATTATAAATTACATTTAAAATATTACATTTAAATTTAAACTGAAATATATACAATACAATAAGCTAATACTATTAACAAAATGCCAAGTTAATGAAATTGGTGAAACACATAACAAATTAGCTGCATCCCAAATGGCACACTATGCACTTATGTTTTTTTTACTAAGCGGAAATTCAAACCGTTTCCCTGATGACGTTTGTCGGTTGCCAAATTAGTGAAATAAATGACCAAACTACCAAATAATACCTGCCATGAGTATAACCGCATTCACCATCAGGAGGTGGCTGAATCACTCTGTTGGAGACTTTTGCTTTCACCATCCAAAATAAATAAAATAATCCAACATCAGTCCCCGATAGCCCCGCCCCTAAAACAGCTGCTGCTGAGTGAGTGAAGTGTCCAACATTCCACACTTATTTTAACGGTTGAATAAGTGCATCAGCCAGGTATTTAAAGTGCACTCATTCTGTTTAGAGTTTTCAGTGTCAATGCACTACTTACATTATTTATACTACAAAATGACAAAGAATAGTGCATGAGTATGCGATTTGGGACGCACATATTGACGAAAAGTTATATTGAAAGTTTATAATAAAACCTGAAAAATTAAAATAAAGCTATAAAATAAATACCATGGAATGACTACAAATTACAGACTTAATTCTAAAACATTCAAAGCTACTATGAAATATGAATAAAGACTATGAAATGACTATATGAAATACTTCCAGTCTGAAATTAAAAGAGAAAATGGTAAAACCAAAAAGTGCAAGTGCTCTACTTAAGAATCCCTCAGCCAATCACCTTTTCCACTCTCTGCAGGTTTGACCTATTTGTGTGGCTGTGGTTAGTCTTTTCAGACAGCAGAGTCTCCTGCAGGCGATGGGTGTCTTTAAAAGCCTGCTGGAGTCTGGCGTCCCGCTCACACAGCTCCTGCTCTGAACACACAAACACACACACACACACACTTCAGTATTCAAAGACGTGCTGCTCTACACTCACCAGGCTGAACACAGGGATCACGTGGTAATGTCGCGCACACACGCAGCTCACCCAGTTGATCCACCTGCTGTTGAAGTGCAGTGCAGTGCTTGTACTCCCCCTGCAGGTCCAGGTCTGCGACCGTCAGCTGCTCCATGCGCTCCAGCTTTAGGACCAGAGCTCTCTCTACTGCCTGCAGCTTCTGCTCCTTCAGCCTGAGCTGCTGCTCCAGATCAGTGCTCTGCTGCTGCTGAACCCTCATCAGCTACAAACACACACACACACACACAACACAACACAAACACTATTACCTTAAAAACACAAACATTTAATATTCCGTTTCTCTAAAAACTGCACCATGGTACGATGCGAACTTTAAAGGCACACTAAGTTATATTTTGACCACAATGTCGGACCAAGTCCCAAATAACATTTGCAGTTAATCAGCAGTAAGGGACGTCTTACTATAGCGGTTATATCAAAAAGGGCGGGTCTTTTTGGGTTATGGGTGTGGCTGGTTTGATGGTATACCAACCAATTGAATGGAATACCAACATTAGCTGTCTCCTATTGCATACTTATGCACTATTCCATGCCATTTTGTAGTATAAATGAAAAGAAAATTCAGTGACTGTACTCATGACAGTAACTACTTGGTAGTTTGCTAATTTATTTTACTAATTTGGCAAATGCTATATTAACAGGGAAACATTTTGGATTTCCCTTAGCATTCCTTTTGGGAAGACACAATATACGCTTGATTGTATAAGTGCGTAGTTAGTCATGTAATGGAAATTCATTTTTAGATGACCTTTATATATTGGAAACTTGTTTAAGACTCATTTTTTAGATATGCGTGTATCTGTGTTCTCCGTATGTTCGCCATGAAACCTATGTGTACATTTTTATACATAATTATATTTCTCTAGGTGCGTGCTTATCTGGACTTTGTGATTACCTTAAGAATTTCCCTTATCTGACTATGTGGGGGTGAACACATTTCTTTTCTCTGGGTACGTATCACTGGAATTTATGGTCTATACATCACTGAAATGTATGGTTACTTAAGAAAGATGTGTGGTTGTTATGAGCATATTGCACGAACAGCAGAAGACGCCTGACGTAAATGCAGATGAGGCCTTATTGGGAGTTGACCTCGTAAGCAGTACAAACTAGATAAAACGGTGAACACACTTTGCTTTAGTATCTCACTCTGCAGAAACTGTTGTTGCTGTATGATTGTGATCTTCTTTATAACGAATAAAAATTTGAAAAGACATCCCGGGTAAGACTTTGTTTCTTGACCACTGAGAGAGCCTCCTTAGAGAAAATAGCCACTACAGTCACTTGGGATGCAACTATTGTTTGGCAAAATTCTAATTCTTTCTCATGCAGATGGAAGGGCATCGGTTGTGTAAAACATATGCTGGATGAGTTGGCGGTTTATTCCACTGTGGAGACCCCGGATTAATAAAGGGGCAAAATCAAAAAGAATATGAATGAATGAATGAATAAACTTTCACTGAAAAGTCTTTTCCCTCCAACAACAGCGCTTACATTTCTATTTTAAATCTGTTTGTTCTACATCTGTTCTTTGTTTGTTTTAAAAAAATTTTTTAAAACAATTTATTTATACAATGTTGAACTAACTGAAACGTGTCACAGCATCTACATGTTGATTCCTGGTGATTTGACGTGCTTCCATTATTCGCATTTCTAAGTCTCTTCGAATAACAGTGTCTGCTAAATGAAGAAATGTAAATGTAATCAATGTTGCTTTTTGAATTGAAAGATTCGGTCATTCTTTACAAAAAATATCTATGAAGCTAATGCAATGACCCCTAGTTTGCTACATTGTCATTTATATCTTCTAATTCCAAACATAAAGAGACATAAATGCAAATGGATAAGGTCCCAAGGCTTTTAATCCAATACAACACTATGGTTGTAGACAAATGAGCTTGTTGTATACACATTTGATTGTATTTTTATAAGATGAAAACTGAAATTGTAAAGAAGTCCATTATCAGGGTTCCCACACTTTCATAAACAGCACATTTAAGGAATTTCAAGGACTTTTTAAAGCACCATTAATTTTAAATCAAGCACCTTTCCAATTCATACCCCAGCATATGTAGCGCCATGAAAGTCCTTAAAGGACCTAACATTTAACTTACACTTAATATTTACATTAAACTAGGTAATTTACAAAATCTTTAAAAAAGTTTATATAACTTTAATAAAAAAATTGTTGAATTCACTACTGAATTCAATACACTACACTATTTTTCAGTGTTAATGTACACGATTTCAATTTAAGATTTTTCAAACGTTATTTAAGCACTTTCAAGGACCGGTGTTTGTTTTTAGGTACCCATATGTCTGAAATTCTGGGACTTGTAGAGCTGCGCATCGATGGATTTGTTCTTCAGTGTTTGTACTTCCAGCAGTGAAATAACCACACTAAACTGAACTGAACTGAACTTCAATTCTGAAAACTGAACTGACCATATCAATAGGTGCTTAGACACAACCTAAATTGTACAAGCGCTATAGAAATAAATATGTATTGAACTGTCAGATGACACTATTGACCTTATTCTAAAATGCGGAAGTGCGCCTGTTTTCGCGTTTGTCTTAGAACTTCCGATTTAGTCGCCTATGGGAGAAATGATTAAGAATAATAAACGGCAGAAAATGGTCAAACTGCTTGCTTTACAAACAAATGTTTGCATGACTATGCAGACCAAGTAGAAGAAATATAATAAGAAAATATCAAATTGCATCATCAAGCAGCGTAACGAGGAGTTTTTAACGTCAAAAAATGAATGGAAGTGAATGAGACCAGAAGTCTCGAGCCAAAAAGATTCAAATGGCAGCGCCCACTCGTCGGCGGAGAATAAGGTGAATACGGCACTTCACCTTTTCATGGTCTTCAAGCTGTGTCTGCTTCACAGATATTTCCGCCTTGAGCTCCTGCAGCTGCTCCTCCATTCGCTCCATCTTTTGTTGTCTCCTCCTGATCTTCTCCTCTCTCTCCTTCAGCTCAGCCTTTAGCTCTTTTTGTTTCTTCACAAGCTCTTCCCACTGCTTTCGTGCAGACTTCCCTTCCTAAACATTAACAAGAGAAACACTTTTGCGATGGTGTTTCAACGTCTGGAAACAAACACTGTATTTTTATAGGGTCTTTCAATTATACAGTGTTTAAATGCAGCCTTTAATTTTTTTTGGTTTATGTCAGACTCTGGCGTCACAGTGACTCAGTGGTTAGCACTGTCGCCTCACAGCAAGTAGATCGCTGGTTCAAGTCCCAGCTGGGCCAGTTGGCATTTCTGTGTGGAGTTTGCATGTTCTCCCCGTGTTGGCGTGGGTTTCCTCCAGGTGCTCCGCTTTCCCCCACAGTTCAAAGACGTGCGCTATAGGTGAATTGAGTAAACAAAAATTGACCGTAGTGTATGAGTGCGTTTGTGAAAGTAAGAGTGTATATGGGTGTTTCCCAGTACTGGGTTGCAGCTAGAAGAACATCTACTGCGTAAATCATATGTTGGAATAGTTGGTGGTTGAAATGAAATGAATCTCTCACCTCTCTAACCTCATCTACAAGAGTCTGAGAGTCCACTAGCTGTTTCTTGAGTTTGCTCAGTTCCTCTGTGGGTTACAAACAATCATTTCAGTTGATTTATTCCCACAGTGCATGAAAGTAAACAGCAAAGAGCTGATGTTAAATTCAACTGGATACCCTCATGCCGCTTTTGCACGGCAACATTGTCTCTGCTGATCTCCAGATGCAGGTCTTGTGTTTGTTTTAGCTCCTGCTGTAGTTTGTTCAGCTCTGCCTGCACTCTAAGAAGCTCAGTTTCTGCTTCACTCGTCCTCGTCTCTGCTGCTTCCAAACACCTGAAACCACAGCAATGCATAGCAGCTAAACCATAAGAATGAAACAGCAAGTCTACAGTACAAGATTTATTTTATTGAATTTAATAAGTATTGTTTCAGAGCAGCTTTACAAAAGGTGCACATCATTGCATTACAAATTCGGAAAGTTAAGGTTGTTAACTACCATAGCTTTATAAGTTACAAATAACTTTACCTAGTGACTAATAATAGCTTTTAACAGGTATAATTAGTATATATAAACATAGTTAACATGCAGTTACATAGCACAAAGGTGATGTTCATGTGTACATGTTTAATGTAATGTATTAAGTGGATGTGTGGTAAATAAGCAGCACATGTTTGAACTGAAGTATCTGGACTAAAGGAAATATAGCGTTAAGGCCAGAACGTATTAGGATAAAAGTTTATTTTATTTAAAGAGCCCCTATTGTGGGTTTTCGAAAATGAGCTTCCATGTGTTACACAGATCTAAGTGAAGTGAAATATCCAGCTAAAGCTTAAATCTGAAAGTGCAGTTTTTAAAACTATTGATTCATCTAAAAAAGGAATCGACTCATAGTGGTTAGAATGAATCGTCTTTGTATCGAGTGTGACGTGACGTAACAACGAAACATAACTGTTGCTAACACAGCTGCAAAAACAGATCCTAAAGTCATCATGAGTCATGAATACGCTGTGCTTACCTGGATATTATTGGATTTGTGAGGGGAAAGAAGTGATTCAGTAGTCTACACGCAGTGGGCGATTCATTCGTTTGTTAAAGGAAGGATCAGAAAAGACTGATGTGACTTGTGAGATGAATGGACAGACAATACACCAGGGGTGTGTGCAAAATAAGGCCATTTTATTAGGCACAAAGGCAGCCTGCTGCACTCTGTGGAGGAGCGCTGGTGAGCGCTACAACCCCCTGGCTGGGGATGTGATCTTTGGGCAAAGAAGAGTACAGGTAAGCCCTGAGAACATATAACACTTCATGCAAGAGGTGGCATAGCAATAATTGCAAGTAGAAATGATCTAAATTACAGCTGAGGAGTGAGAAAAGCTCGGTCACGGAAATCACTCTTATTAAATGATGTGCACGCTTCCGGTTTCATTTTCATTGCTAAGTGCGGTTCATACTTATTTTGTGACACCACGAAGTAAACGAAAAGCATAATATTGAAAGATAGACTTTTTAATTTTATCCATACAATATATATTTTAACTTGCACAGCTTTAATGAAAAAGAATTGAATTGTTTCCCTTCAGTACCTCTGAGCATGTGTGCGTCTGGCCTCCAGGTTTCGGCACTGTTCCTGCAGGCTGCTCCTCTCTTGAACTGCTGCCTCTGTTTGCTGTTGCAGGTGGAGGCTCTTCTGCTGGAGCGAGTGCAGCTCTACTCTGTCTTTCTCCATCTGTCTCTCAGCCTCTTCACGCTGCTCCTGAAGCTCCTGCTGCACACACTGCAGTTCCACACGCACCTGAGAAGTGGACACTCATGGGTTAACTTCACTTCTCACTTCCAGTTTCACATTAAACACAAACAAAAATGTTCAGAGCTGACCTGCAGAAGAGTTTCCTGGCTCTTCTCTAGTTGCTCCAGTTTCTGGTTACATTGAAGCTTCACATCCTCTAATTCTCCAGTTTCCAGCTGGATCATTTCCAACATGCGTGCCAGCTCTAAATGCACACAAATTCCAAATATGAACAATAATTAAGTGTCACTACATTTCATCTCAAAATATACAAAATATACAGATTTTTTCCACTCTGACACATTTTTTTTACAACAAGCATTTACTCATGTAATTGTTACAGTATAATTGTTTATACAGAGTAATATTAATTAACGTCATATTAATATTTTGTCATATTAATGTACTTTAGGGCTGCAGAACATAGCATATGCAATAATCTATATAGTAGAGCGGTGCAACAAACAAAATTTATATATGTTCCAAGCATCTGTGTGCTGCATACATAGGCTGTTTATCTAAATTTCACCAATCAAATGGAGCCTTTCTATCTTTAAAACCGCCTAAGCGGTGCTATTATGCTATTGCCAGGGGTGGGCAATTATTTTTTCCAAGGGGCAACATTAGATACTGGCGTGGTTTTAGATAGCACGATCAATACAGTTAGTTTATGTGTATGCATATTTATATATATATATATATATATATATATATATATATATATATATATATATATTTATACAACAGTTCTGTGTGGTTCTTGAATCTGATTGGCTGATAGCCGTGATATATTTTGCCAGTAACATCACACAAAGGCCTCATCACCCTTCACCTCTGTGTATTACTCCGCCCACATACCGCTAGAAACAAGCAGGCTACAGTTTGACAAATATTACTGTTCTTAGGACAACAAAATGTCCTTTTGAGGCTTTTTTAGTCGAGAATGTAGTTGTTTAGATTGCAACGATGCAGTTTATTTGTAAGAAAAGTGGCTATTTTAAAATATTTACAATTTTTGAGAGCTCGTCGGCAGCCAAAGAAGGTTGACACTGTCTATTAATTTCATGTCATGTTCAGCCTTATAATGTTGAAATGTGAGCAAAAATCTGCTGTTTTGTCATCACCTTAAGGGGGTCACACACCAGAAGTGCCGCTTCACATTAAGCTATAGAGAATCATTCAAATACTAGCTCTAAAGTGACGTTGGTGAATTAGTAACAGCTTCTGCTGTTCTGACGTCAGCTGCAGATGTGAATAAATGGCGGAAGAAAGTAGTTCCTAATACAAAAGGGTTTTAGACTCTCTGTGTTTGATTTTCTTTTTTATGTACAAGACTGTGCCATCGAACTGTTGTATAAACGCAATATCACACGAGTAGCAGTGTGCTATGGCTGTATATCAGCACTGGTGGGGCGCTAAGGCACTCGGCCGCAACCAGGGCCGGAGCGTCCATAGAGGCAACCTAGGCCGCTGTCTAGGGCGGCAGTATAGAGAGGGCGGCATCCGCGACACCTCCCTCACCACCTGCATCCTCAAATATATTCGCGCAAAGACGACAGAATAGAGAGGGCGGCGTCAGCGACACCTCCATCAGCACCCGCGTGTCCTCAGTTATATCCGCGCATAGGGCGGCAGAATTGAGGTTCGCGACACCCGCGCGTCCTCGGTTATATCTGCTCATAGGGCGGCAGAATAGAGAGCGCAGTGTCCACGACACCTCCCTCCCTCCCTCAGCACCAGCGCGTCCTCATTTATATCCGTGCATAGTGCGCTGGAAAAGAGGTCCGCTACTTCATTTTCCTAACCGGTCACTTTCGTTTTCACATTGGGGTTGAGGGCGGCATGATCGTCCTCTGTCTAGAGCGGCAGTTCAGCTTGCTCCGGCCCTGGCCGCAACGCACGCCTACCACCAGTGCTTATATATAGCCATAGCACACTGCTACTCGTGTGATATTGCTCATATATAATAACTTACTACAATAAAAACAATCACATTTATAGCATAGAATCTGCCTTTGCCTTCATTTTCTCCCTGATATCGCTGGACTGTCATCTATCTGTCAGGTGACAGTTTGTACATTTAAATGTACATTTTATATACATGAAGCTTAGCAATAAAACAAACAAACAAACAAACAAAAAAGTTTAAATTAGATTAGAAATGACAGTCTCTAAACTATCCTTATCGTTCCTTCTCTCTTATTGAATGAGATGGTAGGCCAAATCAAAGGTTGCCATGGGCCAACTCTGGCGCAAAGGTCCTTGTTTGGGCATTTCTGGCCTATATAGATAATTAAATGCCAGACTGGCTTAGTAGAATGACTGTACCATACCTGCTTTGTGTTTTTTGATGACTGAGCGAAGGCTCTGCAAGGTTTCCTCTTCCTGCTGCTGGTCTTTCTTCAACTGTGCCAGCCTGGTTTTCCTCTCAGACAGCTGAGAGTCCAGCTCTCCCTTCTGCACGGCCAGAGAATGCACATCCACACGGAGCTCCTGCACACATCCACAATTAATATTCATTCAAGTACGTACTTGTTATTAGAATACTGCATTAACATCATGCACATGTGTAAAACCTGAACACGTTGTTGCAAGAGTTTCGCATCCTCCTCTCCCTGTCTGAGCACATCCAGCAGGGCCTGCCTGTGCTGCTCCACACTAACTCTCAACACTTCCTCTTCCCGTTTCCACTGCTCCAGCTTCCTGTCCAGCAAAGACAGCTCCTTCTGCTGCAACATCACCTGCACAATACACACAATGCAATACTTTTCATTTACACACTACTGTTCAAAAGACTGGGATCAGTTTTTTAAATTGATTATATTTTAAAGGGGACCTGTTATGTAAAAGTGGTTTAAACACAGTTGTGTGGCAACAGTGTGTGAATGTAGTCAGCATATAATAGTTATAATCACACTTGATAAAAACAGTCTGCAGAAACACTTTGATTGACATTCTTTCTGTTCTACATGTCACCAGAGGGGGAATGCCCCGCCCATTAGTGACAATCTCTCCCTCATTAGCATAGACAGCCCTGAGTGAGAAGCAGTTTGTAGCTCCGCCCTATTTTAAAAAGAGCACAATCTCATTTGAATTTTAAAGTGAAAGTCACCAAAATGGCACAATATATGGCAACAGCCTAAAAGGGGCAAATTAAAAAAGTTATAAAATTATACATATATATATATATATATATATATATATATATATATATATATATGAGAAAATGACTGCAGATTTGCAGATAAAAGTAGACATTTTCCAACAGTCATGGGCATTAATCAAAACATATTTCACTTGACTTTTGAAACGTTGTCAGGAGATTTGTTGTAGTTATTTTCCTTATATTGGAGTTTATTTATTTATTTATCTTTTTTTTTCTTCCTTTCATAATGTATTATCTTTTTTAAGCTGCCATTATTATTTATTATTAAAATTGATCTATTATTTTTTATATATTTATTTATTTTTTGTAAAGTAAATGTTATGTGTATACTATGCTTATAAAAAGTGTAATAAAAACACAGTTAAAAAGAGTAATAACAATATTTGTGGGTTATACTGAGCTGACACTTCACACACACACTGTAGGGATGTCAGAGGCTTATTTTACATCTTGTTAAAAAAAAAAAGCATAATAGGTCAACCTTTAAAGTCTTGACCGATACTTATTTATAGCATGAAATATTATTACAATTTAAACAATGACTGCATCCTAAATCGCCTACTACTCAGTAGTTACTGCATTCGAATTTAATTGTACTACTCAACCGTTAGAAAAGTATGTTCTATACAGTATGAATGTGAGTGGTATGAACTCGAACGTACTACATCTATTTTGTCATCAACACGAGACCTACCAACGTCGTTTGCGTTGCTTCACTCCTATTCATGATATTCCTTGCAGTGCATCATGGGAGAGCGTAGTGTCCATTGGATGCGCATTTCAGAATCTCGCCGGAAGTAAAAGGTCTTCCGGGTACTTCTCGCATACTGATTTTCGAATTCTATGAATACGGACATACTACTCGGCTCGCAGACTGATTTTAGCGTACTATATAGTTTGGAAGAATGTAATTTTGGACACAGCCAATCTGTTTTTAGAAAATATAAAATGTTATTTATTCTTGTGACAGCATAAATAAATTTTCAGAAGCTATCACTCCAGTCTTTAGTGACACATATTTTTTTAGAAATCATTTTAATATGCTGATTTTCTACTCAAGAACATTACTTATCACAGCTAGTGTTACCTGAGTGTTGACTTCATCCAGTTTTGTTTTGCGCTGTGCTAGGCTGTTTTCCATCTCTCTGCAGCTCTGCAACAGTTTCACCTCCATGCTCTGCGTCTCTCGGAGCTCCTTCTCGGCAATTTCCAGTCTATAAATACAGGACACAGACAGACAGTTCAGTGAAGAAAAGTTTCTCAAATTCAGAGATGTTTGGAGCACTTTTTTAAATGTATTATTATTATTTATTATTATTATTGTCGCTTGAAAAACAAATATACAAAATGGAACCTACACAGAAAAAATGACATTGATAGTAACATTGACTACATTTAGATGGACACTAGTAATCTAATGATTTGAATAAGACAACAATATGATTAAGGTGTTTACATGAGTTGCTTTTTAAATGTTCCTTTCATGATCCCGTTTTACATGTTATAGCACATAATTTGATTAACGTTATTGCGTCACCACGCTAGCCACATTTCATGGAATTTAGGGTGTTTCAACTTTAATTGCAGTTCGGATGTTTCACTTTCATTTAGGAACATTTTACACATGCCCCTGTGACAAACAAGTTTATTGGGTGCGTATTTGAAGTAAGGACTGGTGAAGAGTGTTGTTTTAATGGTATTTGATACAGCACGCCGAATGGAAAGAAAAAAAATTCTGCATTTTACCATGCAGGTGTCTGTGGTCCTTTACTGACTCGGTAGGTGCATAGAATAGTGTCAAACAGCCAAGTTGTCACAAAATATGGCGAAAAGACCTACATAAAAGTAATAGTTTGATTGGGGTGTTTACATGTTTGTACTGCACTTCAATAAAGCGAGTAAAATTGCCATTATGACTTTAGTCGGATTAAGGTAATCCAAAATCACTGTTAACATGGTAGACTTTTAATCAGAGTATTGTCCTAATCATATTAAAATCTGAGTATTGATGTCCATGTAAATGTAACTTAACAGAGCAAGTTAAAATGTTATTATAAATGCATATAAAACAGTAAAAAAAGAATGCATCCGTGATTTTTCCAAAATAATGATGGTAATACTCCAAGCATCTATCACTTTTCTTGTTTTTGATGTTTGCAGCACCTGTCATTCGCTCTCTCCAGCTTTCTGCTAACGTCTTGAAACTTTGAATCATGACATGTAAGGACCTCCTCAGCATCATGTAGAGAGCGTTCCTTGTCCTCTTTCCTTTTCTGCAGCGTCATAACCTCCTCTTGAAGACTCCTGCAGCAGGACATTTACACATCCTCAATGTTGCTATTAGATTTGTTTTTTTCAGCAGAAGACTTTTAGATTGTGTCATCATGCAGCAGTTAAAGGGATAGTTCACCCAAAACGGAAAATTCTGTCATCATTTACTCACCCTTTACTTTTTGTAAATATTTATGAGTTTCTTTTTTTCTATTAAAGTAAAAAAGATATTTTAAACAAAGCTCGAAACCTGTAACCATTGACTTTCATTGTAATTGTTTTTCCTGCAATAAAAGTCAATGGTTACAGGTTTTCAGCTTTCTTCAAAATATATTCTTTCATGTTCAACAGAAAAAAGAAATTCTTTGGAACCACTCGAGAGAGAGTAAATAGTGAGTACATTTTTATTTTTTGATGAAAAAATCACTTTAACTACTTAAAAACAGCCACTTTCATAAGAATTTAGAATGGAAATGAGATTTTTGAATGTGTGGTTTAACTCAGGCTCATACTGAAAATGCACCCCTATATACATTTCTAGAGAGCGCCAAATACATCCAAGGAGGTTTTTGCTTTTATGAATCCACCAGAGGCCTATTTGTACGCATTTTGAGATCTTAAATTTCTCTCGAGAGTGCCATTCATCCTCCTCCTTCCCTAAACCCAACCAATAGTGTTTTTAAAAGCACAGGTTGACCTCCCCACCGCCTTCCCCTTATTTTTTTGCTTCTGTTTTTGTCTTACCTGTTTTCTGGAACCGTTCTTTGCCGGACTCAAACCCTATCATTGGGATCAACTCTGCTTAACAGCACAAGTCCGCCAATGTATTCGGCGAGCCACTGGACAAACTGATAACAGCGGTAAAGCCATCGATACAGAGGTAAGCAGTCAGTTGGTGATCACGGAAAGAAGTGGCATCATACCACCCCGTACCATTAGTTTTCAAGACGAAATGCAGACATAAATACCTCTGGCTACATAATTCCCCATCTCCAGAAATGTACATAGGGCTACATTTCCAGAATGAGCCTATGTTAGTGTGGTAGGTGGTATTGTTTACCTCAGCTGTTGTTTGCTTTGCACTAGAAGTTTTCCACTGTCTTGAGCTCTCTTTTCTATCTCTGCCAGCTCTCGTTCTGTCTCTTCCATTCTCTTTTTGGCCTCATTATAGTGATGAATGTTTTCTTCAGTCTGAAAACACACGTGCATTAGATTGTCAACATCTTCTTATGGGACATTGATGTATTGTCACCTTAGAATTATACGGTTCTATCTGACATTTTTGTCAACATTGAGTTATTGACATATTCTTGTTAAATGACATCTTATTTACATTATGGGATGTTTTTTTATGAGTTGTTTACATTTTAAGACTTATTCAAAAAACAAATGTTACACACATACTGTTGCTTAGGAATGCAAACTTTAAAATCATTCAGAACGCAGATAGAATCTTTTAATTCCAAGCTGACAGTATGTCAATTACATTTACAAAGATCAATTTAATATCAAAATAGTCTAAAATAGTTTAAATACAGTCAAGCAACCCTGTTGAACACATATTTGACTACACAACAAGCTCATAACAAATAAATGACTACATCAAAGCTGTTGTTTGCTTACTTTTTCAAACATTTCCCAAATTATTTATATCAGAGCAAGGAATTTTTCACAGTATTTCTGATAATATTTTTTCTCCCGGAGATAGTCTTTTAGTTTTTGAATACCATTTTAAGGTTAATATTATTAACCCCCTTAAACAATATATATTTTTCCAATTGTTTACAATCTCGTAATACAATGATTTGCCTAATTACCCTAACTTGCCTAATTAACCTAGTCAATTAAGCCTTTAAATTGCACTTTATCCTTAAAAAATATCTAGTAAGATATTATGTACTGTAATCCTAGCAAAGATAAAATAAATCAGTTATTAAAAATTAGTACCTAAAACCTTTATACTTAGAAATGCAATAAAAATTACATTTCCATTAAACAGAAATGGGGACAATATACAGGGGGCTCTAACAATTCAGGAGAGCTAATAATTCTGACTTCAACTGTATGTGAAATCCAAATATGAACGTGTATCTCATATATGTCATTTGCATATATTGCTATATAACAGACTTCTGTGTGGGAACCCTTTAAGTTAATAGTGTGGCTCCCCTAAAAGTGAGAAGCAGACATGTCAGACCTTGGTTTGAGTGTTTTTAAGCTGTGCATCAGCCTCCAGCAGCCGTCGGTCAGCCTCTCTGAGCTCGGCTCTGCGCTTCAGCAGGGTCTTCTCCAAACACTCCACCTCTCCCAGCACACACTGCTCTTCTTCTGCATGTGATAAAGTGCTTTCCAGACCACTCCTGATCAACCAAATATAGAAAGGCAGTAGATAAGCATTCTATTAATAACTATGGCTGTAGATATAATTTGTTAGTGACATTTTTTTAAAACAAGCTGTTTAAAATGATTTAGGACCAACAACACAATATTTTCTGTGAATTTAAGACTTTTCAAGGCTTAAAATTTTGTTTTTGAAATGTAAGGCAATTAAGACTTTTTTTTTTAACCCAGGGACCCTGTAAAAGTTTGTGTTTTAAATTCTGTTAAATCAAAATGTTACCAATCCATTTTTCGTAAATGTCTACTTGAATCTTTTTCTAACCAATGAATGATCATAACATCTTTTTTGTGTGTAATTTCCCAGTAATTAATTAAGTACATTAATTAAGTATATAGGGTCATGTTGACTGACGTGTGGCGCTGCAGTGTGCGGACAGTCCTGCGCAGATGCTTGATTTCCTGCTGTAGCTCTGCTGTTTTGTCCTGCAGTGTGTGCTGTTCTTGTTCACTGTGAGCTCTGTCTGCACACTCCTCTCTCAGCCTACGCTCTGCCTTCTTCAGATCTCGCTCCTGAAACATAACCAAAATGACTTAAAATTTAATTGATTAAGAATCTTATTAATATTATAGTATAGATAATGTTAGTGTAGTGCCATAAAAAAATAGCCCACAAACAAACAAAAGTCTATGACACTTGCAATCTCATTTAAATGGTTGCTTCTAATATAATATAATATAATACAATATAATATAATATAATATAATATAATATAATATAATATAATATAATATAATATAATATAATATAATATAATGTAATATAATATAATATAGTATAATATAAAATAATATAATATAATATAATATAACATAATATAATATAATATAAAATAATATAATATAATGTAATATAATATAATATAATATAGTATAATATAAAATAATATAATATAATATAATATAATATAATATAAAATAATATAATAAAATATAGTATAATATAAAATAATATAATATAAAATAATACAATATAATATAACATAATATAATATAATATAAAATAATATAATAGACTATAATATAAAATAATATAATATAATATAATATAAAATAATATAATATAATATAATATAATATAATATAATATAATATAATATAATATAATATAATATAATATAATATAATATAAAATAATATAATATATTATAAAATAATATAATATAATATAATGTAATATAATATGCTATAAAATAATATAATATAATATAATATAATACAATATAAAATAATATAATATAATATAATATAAAATAATATAATAAATGATCCCAATGATAGGTTTTGGCTGGAAGGGCATCCGCTGCGTAAAACATGCTGGATACGTTGGCAGTTCATTCCGCTGTGGTGACCCCAGATTAATAAAGGGACTAAATGAATGAATGAATATGATAAATTCTGCTTAACAGGAAATAATGATGATTAAATAAACTATGAATGTAAAGATCTCTCACCAAGTCCTGATGTCCAGGCACATTACAGTGCAACGTCCCACTGGGTACCAGGGGAACAGTCAGATTTGCAGGAGGAGGTCCATAAACCAGCCTCGCTGGATCAGGAGGAGGCCCATAGAGGACTGTGCTGGCTCCAATGGGAAGCCCCGGAACAGAATGACTGTAAATAAATGAACCAGGAGGAAAAGCAGTGCTATCATGTAGAGTAAATCCAGCAGGAGCAGATAAAGGTGTGAAGCGAGTTCCCTCCATGTCACTCTCTCTTCCACTGTCTCTGGACACCTGAGCATCTGAGGAGACACGAGAACAGATATTACAGCTTTAAAGTCTGCATTAACTGGAAGCTGCCACTCTTTTATTTTTGTGACACAGTTCCTAGAGAAATGGAATATTAAATAAGAAAGCAGTGGGCAGGGCTTGTTTTTTTTTTGCTGCGAGCTGATTGAATGTAGCGAAATAGGCATTTCGTTCAGCAAGATTGGAGTTAAGTGCATTTTATATCCAAGAGAAAAAAGTCCATGTACACTGCACAGGTTTAGCCCTGTCTGTGCACATGCCTGTCCTTAAACATGACGATGTTGGAGAGAAAGATGCTAAAACGTGCCTCTCTTTCCATGAGAGTAAGGATTAGGAGAATAGACCCAGTATCCTCCATTAGCAGGAGGTCTTCTCTCTCTGCATGCTCTGTTGCCGGACCGCCGGTTCCTCTCGGGGGAGTGAGGGTGCACAGAACCTAATCCTGAGTCTTGTGTGCCCTGAGATCCCAAACTAGGGGCCTGAGGACAAAACAGCAAGCTGATTATAATAGAAACACAAGTGATGGTGACACTTTACTTGAATGGGTGTTCATAAGACTGCCATGAAAACTTTATAATCATGTTTATACCCACGTACATCACTAGGCCACTTCAAAGGGTCACGAAACACCAAAACACATTTTTTTGAGCTGTTGACAGTCGTATATGTGTCCCACACTGCTAAAAACACTATTAGGACACATATATTTCACAAAAAAAGTGTAAATTGGTTAATTTTGCGTTATTTCAAGCAAATTCGTACTTCCGGTTTGAAACTGCGTCACGGTCATGACATAATAGCATGTATTCCAGCGTGCAGACTGGGCGTCTGTGCCAGAGTGTGTCTTATTACGTCTTACAGTGTGATGCATTAATGCATGAGTAAGGCTTGGTTCAAACCAATCAGCGCGCTCTATTGTGCAACTTCATTAATATTCATTACTGTCATAGTGTTTAGACGACAGAGACGCCACGTTGTGTTGGCAAAACAAGCGTGAAGTGTCGCTTTTATAGTTTGCTGCAGTTAAGTTTTGTTTTCATTTTCTCTCTGTGAGACCTCAGCTGGAGTCACGTGTGGACTCTTTTCTTCCTCCGACACTCCGCCCTAAACAAAGCTGGACCAGCCCACTTTTCTGACTTTTCCCAAAGTAGAGGTGTGAAAACACCCTGCTGAAACGAGGGGGTTTCATGGCCCTTTAAGGAGGGCTTTAACCCCCTATATGTATATTTAGCCCCCATAAAAGTTTTGCGATTAGCTCATGAACTGTACTCTACTAAATTATCACCTGAATTCCTTTTAAATTTCATATAAAACAGCTGTAGACTTCCACTCCTCCTTTTAAACTGTTTTTTTTTATTTAATCAGCAAACCACATAGAGAGTGAGCGAGAGAACCAGGTCTGTTTATCGATAGATTGTTATAATACAGAAACACTTGTATTATTTGTACCCTAATGTCATGGAGGAGCGAAAGGGTTTACCATCTACTCTTTCCTCGTCGCTCACCTCATTACAGCTGTTTGCTCCAGCAAAAATGTACCTCTTAATGAACACTTTATTATGTTTATTACTAATTTAACTATGAATATAAAACACATTACAGTGCATGTGGCATTACCTAAACCATACATGCACAGGATTAAACACAGTGACAGAACCACTCAGTGAATGTACTCATTTTAATTGCACATCAGAGTGAAACATCATGTGTTGTATTTTATTAAAATAATTTCCTATTCTCTTATTATAGCTTATCTTATGATAGTGAGATATGTTAGCCTGTATATTTTTATATGTTTATGCCAGAAAAGTGTTAGTTTAATTTATTTATTACAAAAAAATGTACTTGAGTAAAGAAGCTGGTTTGTACTACAGTAAACAGGAGTGTAACAGGCTCTTTCAGAACTCAAATGGCGATGTCTGTCTATGCAATACAGTGGAATACTGCTATTTACTACACTACCCTACCATACTAGTCAAACATTTTTAAGTGTATTAATATTAAATTCTTAATTAAAAATGTATTTAAACATATATGAATATTTTTTTGTTTACCCCCATAAGGAGCTGAGCCCCCCTAAAATCCTAAAATCGTCCCTGCATATAACAACTGCCATTGGCGTCGTTCGATCAGTTATCACATTTTAAATGCAAGGATGACATTGTTTGTCATCAAAACTTAACATAAACAAATACATCACAACCTATGTTTTTGTCTGTCATGACTTAACTGTGTCAACATTACTAAGACATTCAAATCTTGTCATAAATCTGTCATAAACATGATTGTCATGAAGCCCTTATAAAAATGTCACGGACTTTGAATGAAATTTAATCTTTTTTTTACCCTCAACTGCAGTGGTGTGATCTAAATTTGGCATTAAATATTAACAATGCTCGTGAAAATGATTACTGACACTTTTATTAAGACATTTTAATGACAAATACAGTTTGTTCCACAGTGAAAAGTGATAAGAAAAATATTCATGACACAATTATAATGGCCTAATGACAATAATGTTTATGACAGATGTATGACAAGTTGTGTTGTCTTGGTAATGTCAAGTTGTCATGACAAATATAAAGACCGGTTGTGATATATTAGTATATGTCAAGCTGTCATAACAAACAATGCCATATTTACATTATAAAATGACATAACTGAGCAAATGACTATTAATAACAGTTGCCATAAGCATGCATAAAATCTCAGTCACATTCATGAGGCGTGTCATGATAATAATCATGATTATAAAGGTTTCATGAGAGTCATACGAATACCCCATTCAAGTAAAGTCATTTACAAATCATTTACTTTGTGTAATATGATTTCTTACATGTTGATTTGAGGGTACATAATACCAATATCCAGTGTTTGGTGAAGGATCTCCTAAACTGGAAAGGAAGTTATTCTGTTGTAGAAGAGTCTCCTTCAGGGCTCCAATCTCTTCCAGCAGCTCATCTAGATTTATGTTGTTAGCTAAACAAACCACAATACATAACAATTTCATTTTTTTCTCATTATGTGAATGTGTACAGTGCTTGTCCAACATGATAATACCACTAAAAGATGGCAAACAAACCTCCTTTGGCTTGCGCTAGCTGATCTCGGAGACGTTTAGTTTGAGCTTGTTGTCTTTTCAGGGCTTGGTTTAATCTGTCCAATTCTTCCTGTTGAATTTGAGAGTTTTGGAGACCATGGAGATTCCCATCTGTCTCTTGAACCTGCTCAACAGAAACATTGCATTAATATATAGAGCACATTAGCAAAATCAACCTTTTTTTATCCTTTTTTTTTGGCTAAAAGTAAAAAATGTAGTTTTTGATATGTGTACATTAATTTTTGGAGCCAAGTTAAGCTTTGGATGTGTTAAAAAAATTGTTTGACCTTGTAGCTACACCAAATCCGCACGCACGGCCAGATGTGACTTATTAAAATAGGTGGTTATAAACAATATGTCTAAAGCCATTATTTTAACATTTTTACACATTATAATATTCACATTAATTCCCTCTAGAAAACCAGATTTTATTTCAGGAGTATTGGCGGTCATTTGTTTTCTGGGGTTGCATTTACTGCATTTAAAGGTCCTTTGAAATGAGCATTTTTTATTCGATGTTTGACGTAATCTCTTGAAGATATGGTGGAACATATAGTAGCTCCTCCCCTTTTAAAACCAGCCAATCATATTTTGTTTTTATCTGCCAGTGAGAAATGCATCAAATTAAGTGTCTCAAAGGAGCGGGACATGTCAGATATGCAGCATTTGACTGTTTCAGAAGATTTGCTGAGAAACTAAGTAAGAGGAGACGTCAAAAAAATGGTTGACCCATAAACAGTAGCAGTCAGAATTATTAGCCCCCCTAAGTTATTAGACCGCTTGTTTATTTTTTTTTCCCAATTTCTGTTTAACAGAGAGCAGATTTTTTCAACACATTTCTAAACATAATAGTTTTAATTACTCCTTTTTTATAACGGATTTATTTTATCTTTGTCATGATGACAGTAAATAATATTTGACTAGGTATTTTTCAAGACACTTCTATACAGCTTAAAGTGACATTTAAAGGCTTAACTGGGTTAATTAGGTTAACGAGGCAAGTTAGGGTAATTAGGCAAGTGATTGTATAATGATGGTTTATTCTGTAGATTATCGAGAAAAAAAAAATCGAGCTTAAAGGGGCTAATAATTTCATCCCTAAAATGGTGTATAAAAAAATTAACACTGCTTTTATTCTAGCCAAAATAAAACAAACAAGCTTTTCTCCAAAAGAAAAAAATATTATAAGACATACTGTGAAAATCAAGGCGAGGCAGTGTCGGTAGGTACGTAGAGCTGTTCCCTCACAGCAAGAAGGTCGCTGGTTCGAACCTCGGCTCAGTTGCCGTTTCTGTGTGGAGTTTGCATGTTCTCCCTGCCTTCGCGTGGGTTTCCTCCGGGTGCTCCGGTTTCCCCCACAATCCAAAGACATGCAGTACAGGTGAATTGGGTGGGCTAAATTGTCCGTAGTGTATGAGTGTGTGTGTGAATGTATGTGTGGATGTTTCCCAGAGATGGGTTGCGGCTGGAAGGGCATCTGCTGCGTAAAAACTTGCTAAATAAGTTGGCGGTTTATTCCGCTGTGGCGACCCCGGATTAATAAAGGGACAAAGCAGACAAGAAAATGAATAATTCTGTGAAAATACCCTTGCTCTGTTAAACATAATTTGGAAAATATTTTAAAAAGAAGAAAAAATTGCAAGAGGGCTAATAATTCTGACTTCAACTGTTTGCAGAACTGACAAACTGCACAATTTGGATGTTTATATCTTCTAAATGCAAATTTTGCCACTGCTTCTGAGCACAATATTTTCTAGATATCCTTAAAAATAACATACTGATACTAACATCTAAAAAAAACTATTTTAATTTAACAGGAGCTTTACGATATTATAATTAGGGTTGCACAATATATTGTTTTAGAATCAACATCACAATGTGTGAATCCGCACTAGTCACATTGCAGAGTCTACAAGGTGGAGTCAGGATTACAGTTGGCCAGGTACAAGAGTTCAACACACAAGAAAATTGTGAAGTCATGTCAGTAAAACCATTCTAAATTGAAAGTTCATCAATTCAATTTTCAATTCATCTTTATTTCTATAGTGCTTTTACAATGAAAATTGTGTCAAAGCAGCTTAACACAGAAGTTCTAGTAAAATGATTCTGCTTCAGAACAGTTTTTAGAGTTGAAGTTCAGTTCAGTGTAATGTAAATAAATAACTGTGGTTCACACCGAAGGCGGTGAGAGTGTCAAAGGTTGCCGCCCTGGCAACAACGCTGTCTGCCTTCAGCTCCGGCGGCGAGAGTGTTAAAATTCGCTACATTGATCTCATATCTGAGCACATCATATCGGTTACATTCCTACATAAAACATGCTTTCTAGTGTGAAAATGTTGCACACTTTTTATAAAACTCATTTAAGTTTGAAGATTAAGTTGCATGTGGTGTGGCTTTGCTCCACTTAATTATCCAATGTGTTCATATGTCTGAAATATTCTGAAGCAGCAGTACTGTTTTGTAACTTTTTGAATGTATGTTCCTATAAGAAAACATTACAAATAATTGCAAATCCGGTGACTGCAATAATCAAACCCTTGGGAACAAATGTGGTCGTAAGCAAAGTTCAGTGACTGTGATCTCTGGACTCCTCTCAAGCAATGGACTTCTAAATTCCAATTGCTTGCAGCTGAACCGCATCATAGCTCATTACCATACAGTTAACTTGATTTCAACTCTTGTTGATGCCCAAACTAGCTAAGACGTGCCGCGCTGCTCCTTGCTGCAGGCTCCTCTTGAAAATGAATGGCTTCCGGCTACTTTGACGCTCTCGCTGCTTTCAATGTGAACATACAGTTAAGCTCAAACACTGAAGAGTTCAATATTTTAACACAATCAGTTGTGTGTGTTTTAATTCGGGCACATGGAATTACTTTACAAAACATTTTGTAGCATTTTGCAGATTTACTTTATTCAACTATTTAGAGCAGGGGTCACCAATCTCGGTCCTGGAGGGTCGGTGTCCCTGCAGGGTTTAGCTCCACCTGGCTGGATTTTTCAAGTATACCTAGTAAGACCTTGATTAGCTTGTTCAGGTGTGTTTTATTAGGGTTGGAGCTAAAATCTGCAGGACACCAGGGGCCTCATGTATCAACGCTGCGTACGCACAAAAACTTTGAGTATGCCAGGTTTCACGCTCAGAATTGCTCACGTTTGGATTTACTAACGATGAACTGAACGTGGGAATGTGCGGAGCTTCACGGCAGCTTTCTGACTGGCGTACGCACATTTTTTGTGCGTGTCTGTTTTATTTCCATTGGCGACTCCTAGAGGCAGTTGTGTTAAATTCCTCTCTACAAAGTGTCTGAGCCTTGCAATGGCAGCTGTATGAGACGGGTTCATCTAGTAGGTATGTAAGGTTTCCATACCATACATTTGACCAGCTAAACATTAAAGCACAATTTGCAGCAGTCGCCTGTTTTCCCAATGTAATCTGAGCTATCTACTGCACGCACATTGCTATAAAGACACTATCTGAAGATGAATTTGCATTCGTGAATCAGAAACATTTCCATTCAATAAATGTGCAAATAAAATTTGATGCACAAACTTATTAATGATTACTACTTGTCTTTCTCGTGATAAATAGTGGGCAAAATCTGATATGTAGCGGGGAAAAAAAAGAAGAAAGAGTTCATCAGATGCTGGATTCGAACCGAGTTTATGCTCGAACGTGTCAATACATGATCACGTGCGTCTTACGAGGTGCGCCACTGAGACTGCTAAGGGTACTGCAACATTTTACAGATATAAACCACACTATTTCTATTTTTAATGCACTCAGTGCGATGTTCAGATCCAACTGTGTTAACCGCATCAGCTAAACTCTCCCACTCTATTTTTTTCTTTTGTTGTTAATTCCGGAGAACAAACTTGCAAATAACACCGCTTTTCTCCGGTCTACCTCAGAAAGCAGCACCTCCAATTCACATTCTGTTCAAAGTTTCTCTTTTTGCTTGATTTTGCCATTGCTTTTTTGTTGGGTTTTGCCATTAGCATAGTCATTAGCATATTCATACGGGGGAGGAGGCAGGGAGGGGTTTTGTGCTCGTGCATGTTGCGCTCAGTTTCACGTTCATTCAGATGTACAAAAGTATATGCGTGAGATTCGGCGTACGCAGTGTTTCATACATCTGAATTTTTTTTTTCACATTTACAGCTTTGTGCGTACGCAATGTTTTAGTAAGATTTCCACGCAAGTCTTCGTACATGAGGCCCCAGCCCTCCAGGAACAAGTTTGGTGACCACTGATTTAGAGAAATGAAGACTATACAACTTTTATTTTACATTTGATTATTTTATTTCTGTACTTGAATACTGTTAGACTTTATTTATTTACATAAATGAGCTTAAAAATAAACTTTATTTATATAATTGCTCTATTTATGTGTGCTGGTAATTAGTTTATTATATTTTTTGCAGATGGACTCCACAACAAAATCATAAATCAGTGTTGTTCCCATACTGATAAACTCCCGGTGACCTGGTATTTTTTTACCTGAGTTTTTTTCCATCTTATATGGTTTATTTTACTGCATCGATATTGTAATGTAATTAAAATACAATCAGTTAAACAGACTTTGGCATTCGTTTAGTTGCTCAAGCATAAAACGAGACAAAAATCGTTTCACTTGCACGCGCCCGTCAGAATCGGCAGTCTAGCGCAGAAGCTCCATTGAATATACTGGGGTAAAATAAATGCTCATATTATAAAGACATGGTGGGGAAAATGTAATTTAATGCAGTGCTTCTTCTACATTCTGAGACCCACTTTACATCGGATATCATTCAGCCAGTGGAGATCGGTGATTTTTAAAGAAAACAGACCTTAAACATGCCGATTTTGCATTGGCATACAGTTCACCGGAAGCGGTTAACCCAGGTTACTGGCAAATTAAAAGTCCTATTAGCATGCTTCGGCATATACCCTATAAATATAAATGTATTGAGTATTTCCAAATAGAGCTATTCGTTATTTGGTGAAATATAGCAATATAAATTGCGGAAAATAAAAATATTGTAGCATCACAGTGGGATAGTGAGTAGCATGATTGCCTCACAGCAAGAAAGCCTCTGCTAGGTTAGTTGGCATTTCTGTATGGAGTTTGCATGTTTTCCCTGTGTTCGTGTGGGATTCCTCCAGGTGCTCCGGTTTCAACCAACAGTCCAAAGGCTAAATTGTCCAGTTTTGGTTGTATTTGCATAGTTTGAATGAGTGCTGTATTAAGCAACTCAAAACAGGGAATTGTTTTAAGAAATAAATATTTAATTCAACGCTTCAGAAGGGTTGTTTCTCTCTTTACTCTTTCACAGCTCATTTAAAAGTGTACCATATCGAAAAATGTAACAATCGTACCCAAAATGATGATTACACATTACCCTATCACTCAGAAGCTTCTGGAGGACCTGGATTTCTGCTTCAGCGTTAGTCAAGTCTTGAATGGCTTGGGCAGCCTGAATCCTGGTGCTCTGTAACTCCTCTGCATTCTATACGCACATACAAAACAACAACAATCAATCAGAACAAATAGAAACAGTCATCATCAGTGAAGTTCTCTCACAATGACAGATCAGTGTCTTACCGCTGCTCTTTCCAGATTGATTTTCTCTACAGTGCTATGAAGAGAGTGAAGCTTGTCCTTCGCTGTGATCAGCTGTTGGGCAGCCTGTCTGTCAGCAGAGGAAAAAGATCTCCGGAGAGCCTGCATCTCTAGATTGAGAGACTCCAGCTGCTCTTGAGTCTGGGTTTTCTCAGCGTTCATCTAGAAAAACAACAGTCATACATTAATATTAGGGCTGCATGATATTGGAAAAATCTGATATTTTAATATTTTGTTTTCCTGCGATATATATTGCTATATGAATATGATTTCACCAGATGAATGAACAGCTCAATTTCGAAAGATTTCGTTCATTTAGATATACAAATCACATTTGGATAAACTATCATAAATTACAAGCATATTTAAATACAATAGAGCAAATATAAAAGTTAAATAAGTTAAATGGCTTACAGAAGAGTCTAACAGTATTCAGGTACAGAAATTGAACAATCAGACATAAACTAAGATGGTATTATTGCATAAACCAGGGGTCACCAATCCTGGTCCTGGAGGGCCGGTGTCCCTGCAGGGTTTAGCTCCATCTTGCCTCAACACACCTGCTTGGATGTTTCAAGTATACCTAGTAAGACCATGATTAGCTTGTTCAGGTGTGTTTGATTAGGGTTGGAGCTAAAATCTGCAGGGCACCAGCCCTCCAGGAACATGTTTGGTGACCACTGGCATAAACCATCTAAAATATAAATAAAATCTAAAATAATAATATTTATGGATGCATCCGTTGCGTAAAAACGTGCTGGATAAGTTGGCGGTTCATTCTGCGGTGTCAACCCTGGATTAATAAAGAGACTAAGCTGAAAAGAAAATGAATGAATGCATATCTTATGTTTTAATATGCAATAAATAATCTAATCCTGCAATGTGACTATTTTGTATACACATTGCGATATCGAATATATATTGCTGAAACGATATATTGTTCAGCCCTAATTAATATAATATGTGTGTACTTACATAAGTATGAATGAAGTCTTTAGGGGTGAGGGAAAATACTGATACAGAAAAGAATTTTGATATTTATCATGGCAACACTATATCAATATATGGATACCTATATCAATATACTGCAAATATTTATATATATTATTTGGTTGAATATTAAAAATAGTTTCTTTACAGTCCACTAGATGGTTGTGTTGGACCTAAGATGGTTTTCATCTTCAACATGCAGCAAGTTAGTAAAATAAAGATGACGGCATCACCAAAAAAGAGATGATTTCCTTTGGGGACATAATTTGAAAGTTTAAATAAGGCAATAAATTGCAATATATCACAATATATTTAAAATCATAATAATATTGCATCCCGACACAAGTATCGTGATAATACTGTAGCTTGGGAACTCAACTGATTCCCACCCCTATTAAGTTTAGGTTCAGGGGTAGGTTTAGGTCCTGAAACAGGGTCATAAAATAAATTGCTATCAAAACAACAAAAATATGAAAAATTAAGTATGGCTGACCAAAAACTTGTTATGTCTAATATAGAACTGGTAACCCTTAACTCTCACACCGTTTTTAGTTTGTTCAAAGGCTTAAAAAAACAACAACATTTCGATTAAATCTATGAAGGGATTTGAGTAACAACAATTTCGATCTACAATTACTAAACAGTTTTTATAACTTTTTTAAACACAAGTAGGACATTTTTGAAAATGAAAAGTTTGCTTAAACTAGACAGCGTTAACCTTAAAGGTCCCATGTAGTCTGTTTAAAATGTGCATTTTTATTCAATGTTTGATATAACCTCAACTGAAACATAAAGAGAGGGTGGGACATAGTGTAGCTTCTCCCCTTTTCAAAACAGCCAATAGTGTTTAATTTTTATCACAGCTCTGGCGGTAAGAGTGGTTGAGCTCATGTGCATAAAAATAAAAGGAATGAATGATGGGGGCGGGCCATGTCAGACACCAAAGAGCATTTGATTGGTTATGATTTGATGAGAATCTGAAGAATATGGTGACGTGAAAAAAAAAACAGTTATCCATTTAGGTGGAAGGAACAAACTACAAGCTTTGGATGTTTATGTTATCAGTTTTATACCTTCTAAACATAAATATTCAGACTCAGACTCAACTTTATTATCACGTTAAGGGAAACTAAAATTGCAGTAAGGTGCCATAACACAGGCGAAGTTCCATGTACACATTGATAAAATATTACCACACAACATACAATATATCATTACGTAGGTGCATCTCCCTCCCCCTGGACTCATTTATTGACTTAATAGCCACCATTATGAAAAAAATTCTAGTTTTATTTGTCCTGTAAATAGGAACTCTAAAATGACGTCCTGATGGCAGCAGAGTACAATGGGTTATCCGGGGTGCATAGGATACCCTGAGCTCTCTTTAAAACATAATAATGGTAAATTACCATTGGACCAGTTTGGTTAAAACTGATGATCTTGTCTGCTACCTTGGCTGCTCAACCTGTTCTTACTTGACACACTCAGATTACCGTACCAAGCTACAATGCAGAAAGATAAAACAGATTTAATGAATTGTTTATAAAACAGTGTCATCATAGAGGTACAAACCTGAAACGATCTAAGTTTCCTCAGAAAAAAATTCTTTTTTATAGACAGCCTGGGTGTTAGGTTGAAATGTGAACATATTGTCAATAACGACTCCTAGATATTTATGTGTGTCAACAATTTCAATGTCCAAGCCTTTAATATTTGTTATGCTGGGGGTAGGAGAAGCCTTCCTGTAATCTATCACTATGTCTTTGGTTGTACTTCCATTCAACTGGAGAGAAAATCTATCACACAAGGAAGTAAATTCTTTCCAACAGGACCACAACATAAATATTGTCACTGTTTTGGAGAACACTAGCTTAAAGATATCTTAAAAAACGAACAATACTAACATATTGTTACTAACATCTAAAAACTTTATTTTAATTTCATGGGACCTTTAAAATTAGATAATTAACTAAGTAATTAAGTTCAGTCTCACAACTGAACAGAATATTTGAATCTTAAAACAGAGCAAAAACAGAAGAAAATCAATTAAATATTTCAAAGCATATCACTCTCATACTATTACCTGTTTATCTTGTTCCTCTAACTCTCCAAGTATACGGTCCCTGTCGATCTCTGTCTCCTCTAAACGCTGCGCCATCAAGTAGTGCTGCTCACGAGCTTCTTCCAGCTCTTCCCTCAATCTATGGAGCTCCGCTTCTTCACCACGTCTCTCTGTTGTCTGTGAGAATCAGACATGGAGATCTGCTTCATACTAATACATTATTCTATGGCATGTAGTCAATGTAACTGAAACATCTATTGACTATGTCAAAATGATTCTTTGCATGGCCTCTCACCTGAGTCTGATGTCTCTCTTGGTACTTCCTGAGTCTTTCTCTGAGTGAGCTCATCTCTCCAGTGAGCCTATCCTGACAGCGCTGAGCCTCATCTCTATCTCTCTGAGCCGCAGATACTACACGATGCACCTCCTGTTGTAACTCCATGAATTTTTTGTTCACTGGTTCCCCGAGGTCTTCAAAGCTGTAACAGAAAGGTAAAGCAAAGACATTTCACTATTGGACAGACAGTCAGAACTACCGTCTGTTTTTTTTAAAAAGGAGGAGCTACACTATGGTCCACCCTCTCTTCGACTGGATGGGCATCCAACATGTAAAACATTTACCAGAATAGTTGCCGGTTCATTCTGCTGTGACAACCCCAGATAAATAAGGGATTAAGCCGAAGGATTAAGAATGAACGAATGAATAATATCAACCAGTAATAATCTTTCATACCTTAATTCCTTTTGTCCTGTAGTTATGCCTCTTCTCAGCTCTCCTAAATGTCTAGCAACACTCTCAGGGCACAGAAGCTGCTCCCGAACGCTATTTAAATCATCCTGAAAAGCTTCTACTTCCTCCTTTAGACAGTCTCTCTCCTCCTGTAAAGACATTTTCAGCCAAAGAATAAATCAAGTCTTATTGGAAGCTGATTGAATCTTCTATGTAAGCAAGTATACAGTAAAATGAAGTGAGGGGTGTCTATTCGTCCCCCTTTTTTATATAGTCTGAGTTTTATTATTGGGGTATTCCGCAGTAACACACCTGGAGAGCGTTGATCTGTTGCAGAAGCTGTGTGTTCTCAAGCTCTTTGTCTGCAGCCATGCGCACTTGTGCTAAAGCGTTCTCCTTTGCCTGTCGTTCTTTCTGCAGCTCTGCCTGCAGCGCAGAGTGTTCCATCTGGAAATGAAGAAGCCAAGAGTATTCGAATGTTCAGAAGAGTTCACACAAGTCATACTAAATTATCATATGCTTAGATTTCTAAAGTCATATTTGAAACGAACAGAAAGTATTCCCTTGTTCCACAAATTTTGCACATTGATGTTTAAGTATTTTGGGGTTTGTAAAACTTCAAGGGTGCGATGAATATTGTAAAAATCTATAAAGGCTTTCCAACCTGAGTGAGTCGACGCAGTCTGTCCAGCTCCTCCTTCAGCTGTGTGGCTTCAGTATCTCTCTGCTGTAGTTGGCTCTCCAGCTCTGCCTCATATTCACTGACCTGTCCTCGTGCTCGTTTCAGTTCTTCATTCTCCTTCATCAGATTGTCAAACTCCTGCTTCTGTAGCTCCAGCTCCTGTAACACAACAAAAAACATTCCATTGTTCAAACAGCAAAACAGAATCACTGTGCTGCTCAATGGACCCTTTTCAGATTTCTGGGTTTCTCAGTAGCGGAAGTCATCAAAGCTGGGTAAACTTGGGAGAGTAGAACAAATATTTTTTTACACAATCCTATTTGCTGAAATAATAAAAGAAAAACTTGGTGTTATAAAGACTTTCGGAAACAGGAAAAAAGTTGTGCGAGACTGATAACGGCAGTCAGAGAAGATAATAACGTCAAATTTACTGTTTCTTGCTCATATACTCTGCATTTTAAATGCCTTTGCACAAGCTGTAATTTGTTTTTGTTTTTTTATTTCATGCAAAGATGATATAAAACATACATAAACATGGTTTCTGCTACATTTATTCTTCCGTGGCGGGGCGCCACACCAAAATTCATCCCGCCACGGCTACATTACAGCTTCTTTTTCAAAATATTCAGTGTTTTTTTTAAATAGTGGGTTAAAATCGCACCGAAAACGTATGAAAAGGTAAGTTAATAATAACAGCGCAAACTTTTCTGTGATCGTAGTAGTGCTGTGTTTTCTGTTTAACCCTTTAAGGCAGGGGTCTCAAACTCGCGGCCCGCGGGCCATTTGCGGTCCTCAGTGCAATATTTTGTGGCCCGCGCCGACCGCTGTCCACTGACAGAATCAGCTCTCTCTCCCCGCTCCGCTGATTCTATCCGTACACAGCGGTCACTGGCATTCCCCGCCCGCCGTGTAAACAAAGGGGCGGGGATGCCGGTGACGTCACCATGCACCCTGCCCCTTTGTTAGACGCTGTGACGGGCGGGAAGTGTTAAAAGCGAACTCGCGCCGGCCAGAACCAAGGTAAGCTGTTCCCGCCCCTGCCTGCCACTTAGCTACCTATCTGCAGCCTGCCACCTACCTAGCTACAGCCTGCATCTTATATATATTATAGGTAGATACAGACTGGCACAGACTGATGTGACTGGAGTGGGGTGGGGGTGTTTTATTTATACATATATACGCCTTTTTTTAGGTGAGGGAATGGAAGCTTTGAGTGTGTGAGAAGTGTGTGAAGTTATTTTCCACCTTGAACTTCAATAAGTCAAAGTACAGGTCTAGACTTAATGATGATCATCTTCAAGCCATACTGAGGGTCTCAACTGCTTCCGCTCTAAAGCCAAATGTGGTTCAGATTTGTGAGCAGAAGCGCTGTCAAGTCTCTGGCAGCAAGGAGTAGGCAAAAGATGCCATGTTCAGAAGAACTGTTCATAATCTTCACTCAATGTTCTATTAATGTTCAGAACACTTCATGTTCAGAAGAAATAATTAAAACTGTTAATAATGACATTTGAGGACTTTTTTTTTGTGAAATCCCTTATGCGGCCCAGCCTCACCCAGACTTTGCCTCCTGCGGCCCCCAGGTAAATTGAGTTTGAGACCCCTGCTTTAAGGCGACGTGCTGACTGACAGTCTGATTGACAGGTGCGTGAGACTAGCAAACACGTAGCTTTCAGTTATGATGAACAGTTTCCATAATTATACTTTATTTATAGATAAAGGTCTGTGGCTCTGCATATAATGACTTTATCTTGATGGAGTTTATAGCCGTTTCACTTTACTTCAGGACGCATTAATGCCGGAGTCTGCTCCGCAAGTCTATCAGAGACATTCATAAATATTCCTAGCAAATAAACGCACTAAATAACACTTCAGCCGCGTTTATTTTAGGGCGCGCAAGAAAATCTGCACTTGAGCAGCGTATATTTGAGGGCGCGCAAGAAGTTGAGCACAAGCAGAGGAAATCGACGCTCAAGCAGAGATTGACATGCTCGTAAACTATTACATAAATGAGATCTCAATGTAATACTGCGCCCATGACATTTGTCAACGAAATAACGCCACATGTAGTGGTAGATCTTTGTAAAATGGCCAATAGAGTCTGCCACCACAGCTGGAAAAAATCCTAGAGGAAACACTAATAAATACATATGAATGTGCATACGTTTAAAACAAAAATAATATTAATATAATAATATAAATATTAAAACTTTCAAGGATTTAAGATTAGGATGACTGTTAAACGCATCTTGTAAAAAAGGGTACATATTGTTAAAAACTACCTTCTGTGTGATTTCAGCACTCAGGGCTTTATTCTCCAGCTGTGTGAATTCCTGCTCCTTCATGTCTAAGAGGTGCTGCAGAGTGTCTTTTTCCCTCTGTAGACGTCTGCAATCTGATTGGGCTCTCCGTGCTTGGTCCTTCACACCGCGCAGATACTCCTGAAGACCTGAGATGATGCCCTCAAGGTCACGTTTGAGCGCTTCATTAGCAGCTATCTGACCTGAAAGAGTAGACATATTTCAGTAATCATAAACTCCTATCTATTGACCTTATTCTGCAACGCATAAGTGCGCTCATATTTGCGACTGTTTTAGAACGTCCGATTCAGTTGAAATGACTTGGAATATTAAACAGCAGAAATGGGTCAAACTGCTTGCTGTACAAACAATACAATGTTAATGACTATACATAAAAAGTAGAATATTATAATAAGAAAACATCATCAAGCTATTTATTATCAAAAATCAAGTGGAAGTGAATGAGACTGGAAATTCATCGTTCATTTTCCATCAGCTTAGTCTTCGTTTCAGAGGTCGCCACAGCGGAATGAACCGCCAACTATTATAGCATATGTTTTATGCAGCGGATGCCTTTCCAGGCACAACCCAGTACTGGGAAACACCCATACACACTTATACACTACAGCCAATTTAGTTTATTCAATTCACCTACAGTGCATTGCATGTCTTTGGACTGTGGGGGAAACCGGAGCACACGAAGGAAACCCACACCAATCGGGGAAAACATGCAAACTCCACACATAAATGCCCATCTGTCCCAACTAGGACTCAAACCAGCGACCTTCTTGCTGCGAGGCGACAGTGCTAACCACTAAGCCACTGTGCCGCCACAGGAATGTAAATCTGAAGCCAAAAAAAATTCTCAGCACTGCGCCCGCTTGAATTTGAATAATAAGGTCAATAAATACGTTTATATTTTCCAATGAATTGAATAGTTCCTCACCATCAGTAAGCTGCTGCTCCAGATCTTTGATCTCCTCGGTCTCCTTGTGGATGCGTGTGATCATGTCATCCAGCCTGCGCTCCAGCTCCTGGTGCTTTCTGCTCATGATGGCCAGCAGCTGTGACTTCCTGGACAACTGAGCCTTCACATGGGTCTGCAGGAGTGACAGAAGACGGTGTCACGGTGTTATCGGTGTCACAGTGTTATTACATGATCGGTTCTGCTAAGAAATCAGTAAATACTCAATTACACTGGAAAAGTTGAAATGCACAGTGGGTCAAATTATTTTTGAACACTTCATGCCTTTTCCAGGTAAATTTATTTCTAAAGGAGCTGTTAACATAAAATAATTCAATTCAGTTCAGCTTTATTTGTATAGCGCTTTTACAATGTAGATTGTGTCAAAGCAGCTTCACATAAATGGTCATAGTAACTGGATCAGGGTAGTTCAGTTTTTAGTGTTTAAGTTAGTTTAGCTCAGTTAAGTGTGGTTTGAAGTCATTATTGAGAGTCCAACCACTGAAGAGCAAATTCATCGATGAGTAGCTTTTCAGATCCTGAACCATGCAAGCCAGTGGCGACAGCGGAGAGGGAAAAAAAAACTTCACCAATAGGAGAGTGAAGAAAAAAAAAACCAGAAGAACCAGAAAAGAACCAGACTCAGTTCGGCACGACCATTTTAATTTCTCCGCTGGCCAAAAGTCTTGTGCAGAGCTTCAGTCTCAGCAGTGGAGGCTGGAAGCTGGCCTCAGCGAAGACTCGTCTGTCCCTGGAGCGTCACTGTAATCAGTCTCATACTCTCCACTCCCCCATGACCAACTGCTGCTGAGCTTAGGATACGGCCTGGTCCCGGATATGGACACCTTGGGATCATCTCGTAAGCCAGATTTTTGGTTAAAACCCAAACAATTCAAACCCACAAATGAAAAAAAAATCAACAATGACAACTGAACAACACAAGGATAGATTACTGAACTACTAAAATGTATTTAATACTTTGCATAAAATACTTTTTTAGTAATGATAACTTCAAGACGCTTCTTGTATGGAGAACGCATCAGAGTCGTAAGGAGAGTCATATGCATTGCTCAGCTGTGATTTTTTTTCTCAGTCTAAGAGTCTAAACATCTTTGATGGTTCTGTGGGTCTCGTCTATGAACTCCGATCTTTCAGGTAAGGTAACATTATTAATCCCCATGGGGAAATTGATTTGCAATATTGCAATTGTCGGGTGTTTAACACATAACAAGGGTCAATAATAAATCACAGTTAGAAAATATCCAATAAAAAAAAAAAAGAAAAAAACATCAGAGCTGACAACATAGTTAATTACTATTTGAAAATCGTACTGCTTGTGGGATAAACGAAAACGCCGTCCTGTTTTTTAAAACCTGAGGCACACAGAGTCTTCACCCTGATGACAATATTTCAAATATAGACGTAAGAGGATGTTTTAGTGCTTTAGTACACAAAAATATACTACTTTTTTTCTTATTTTCTATTGGATTCATGTCAGGTGATTGGCTAGTCATTACAACAGCTTTATTTTCTTTTCTGAAAGCAGTTGATAGTTTCATTTGCTGTGTTTTGGATCATTGTCTTGATGAAAGCTCAAGCCTGATTTCATGTTCATCATCATCCTAATAATGTAGTTGTTGCGACTAAAGAAACTAATATTAATTCACAATGACAAGAGGCAGGGTTCCTTTCTAATCATTAAGAGATTTCAGCTGCTGTCTGGGCTTTCTAAGCCTTTTATACGTTCCTTTCTTCATGTGCTCAATAATTTGCCCTGTGTCATTAAACTTCACTTCTAATTGAATTAGTTTTATTTTGTATGTGTGGGTTACTTTAATTGTAAATGACATCAGATGAAAGTTTCAGCGCCTTTAAAAATGTTTTTGAGAAAAATGGTGACAGGTTCAGTATTTTTGTTACCCGTTGTATATCTGATTAATTCCTTTTCTGAAAATTTACTCTTTCATTTATTACTTCTCTAATCGTACACTTCCTCTTCCCTTGTCCCAACAATTTATCGGAAAGTGTTTCCCTAACCCCTACATAAGCATTATTTTAAACACAATGCCTCAGGTTAGTTTGCTTTAAAACTAATCGAAAACTACTTATAAATAAAAAATAATAACGGTACTTCATTTTATCAAATGTTTGGACGGTAGTGGTTTTAATGCTGTGCATTATCAAACCAACAGCTCTCCAAAGTAATGAAAGCCAAGTATAATATGCAAGTCTGCAAACCCCCTGATGACCTAATGGTTTTGCAATTTCCTGTTATAAACATTGAATATGTACGACATTCAACTTTCGCGTCACGAAAAAAATAATCAGCTTTAAAAATAAATACTGTTTTTACTGTTAGAAACTGATACTGATTTCTACAAAACGACATCAACAGCCCAAAACTGCAACAGTATGACAGCAGCCTCCCATGAGCCCCTCCAAGACCCCACTGGGGAACTTACTACAGCGGTGCGCCTGTCATCTCTTCAGTTCTGTCTCTAGATATCCATTTTTCTCCTGTTGTTACCCCATAAGGAGTAACGGGAGCTCTTTTTACAGAAGGAGAGCATTTCCTGTCTCTTTTCGGCGTGGCTACTCTAAACTTCAGAGCTTTTGTTCATGAAGTCCAGCTATCACCACAAGTAGCCCCCTCCTCATTCTCCCCTCCTCCTCTTTCAATGCACTCTGTCCACCCTCCGCTTTGCTCCCTTTGAATCAACACAGGAAACTTCTGGCTTCAGCCAATCAGATTGAACAACTCGGGCTGAGTGGGAGTAAGGAACCTCTTCGGCTCCACCCACAGCATCAACAGATTTCCCCCAGGACAGAAGTGCTCTCTTCTTTCTTAAAGAGACAGGCGCCTTATTTTATATGCCTGTTACTTGTTGCTGAGCATCATGGGTTGGCAATGATTAATTCCTTAGGGAAGCATAAAAACAACACATCAGTGATATTTTGCTGTGATCATTTCTTTAACAAAAAACAGGAAGACTTGCTGTTTTATATCTGTTTTATAACATAAACAGACAGAGGACTTCAAATATGATTTGCCTAAAGGCTGATTTGATTATTAGAATATAACAGACTTTAAATGAAAATATTTTGAAGGTGTCGTTGAAGATATAGCACAACCCTCTTAGTGTGATCACACATGGGTGTAAACAGTAACACCAACATGTGCATTGTAGAAACTTGTAAACATTATTTCTGCTAGATGTTGCCTTCATTTTTAACACTTCAGATTGTGTAAACAGAGCATTAACTATTTAATCCACTATTTATTCATCAGAGTTTACGTATGAGGGTAAAATAGCTTATAATGAGTTGATTTCTGTTTTGAAATAATTGTCTGGGATCCGTAAAAAGCCTACACTTCACATATTAGTATTTCCAATAGAAATAGAACTGTAAAAATACTACAGTAAATCCTGATAACCATAAAGGCGTCAGCTAAATTCATTCTCAATATGATAGACTTAAATGCAGATTTTAAATAAGAATAAAAGCAGCAATTACATAAAACAATAATGTAGACTTTCACATATTTATACAGTTGAGGTCAGAATTATTAGGCCCCCCATCCAAACCCCACCCCTCTTTGAATTTTAAATATTTCCCAAATTATGTTTAACAGAGTAAGGAAATTTTCACAGTATATCTGATAACGTTTTTTTCTTCTAAAGAAAGTCTCATTTGTTTAATTTCGGCTGGAATAAAAGCAGTTTTTAATTTTTTTAAAAAACATTTTAAGGACAAAATTATTAGCCCATTTAAGCTATATATTTTTCTCGAAAGTGTACTGAATAAACCATCATTATGCAATAACTTGCCTAATTACCCCAAACTACCTAGTTAACCATATTAACCTAGTTAAGCCTTTAAATGTTACTTCAAGCTGTATTGAAGTGTTTTGAAAAATATCTAGACAAATATTATTAACTGTCTTCATGGAAAAGATAAAATAAATCAGTTATTAGAAATAAGTTATCAAGTGTGTTGAAAAAAAATCTTCTCTCCCTGTTAAGCAGAAATTGGGGGAAAAAATAAACAGGGGGGCTAATAATTCTGACTTCAACCGTATAGGATTTTTTTTAAAAGAAAAATTACATTTGATTAATAAAGTAAAAGGAGTATTAATGTAAAAATGTATTTAAAGGACAAATGTTTTATTATTAAAAAGTAAAAATCTCTAGTAATCTCACATTTAATCAATATAATGCATGCTTTAAGAAAAGTATAATTCATAAGATCATAATAAATGTATTCTGACTTAAAACTTTTGTATCTGATGTATTTAACTATCAAATGAAAGATTGCACCAGAATGTAAAACACTGTGTTGACATATAGCTAGGGCCAGACAGAATCTGCGGACATTTTTTGCTATTTCTGCGCAGAATTTTGCGAAAAATCTGCAAATTATTGTGGAATGATTTTGGCACTATCATAACTAAAAATATGAATATGAGTATATGAAATAAAATAATAATACCCTTTAAACTTTTATATAATGTTTACAATGCTATTCTAATTAGATTCACTAAATTGGTAAACAAAGCAAGTTTCTTATATATTAAATCTACTTAAAGACAGGAAATATTACTTTACACACTGTATTGTAGATAAATCTTATGAACATTTTCATATTTGTCAATAATATACCTGACATTAATTTAAAAATGGAATGAATATAAATTTACACACAAGTAAATAAATACTCCATGATGAGTTAAAAATCTGTGGATTTTTGTGCACAGGTTCCGTGTGGTCCTACCTATACCTAATTAAATGCATCATTAAACCAAAAATCTGTATTTACCATTGTTAATCTGAAAAAGCATTGAATACTAGGTGTATTCATTTATTTATTTATGAAACCAATCAACCACAAGAGGCTGTGAATTACAGTAATAAATGTTGGCAGTCTAAATCGCGTCATCACAACAACACTATTCACCCAAAATAAAGTCACTGTAATGGACAGATTCTTGTAGCTCATTTTTTTAGATCATAAGGGTGTTGAGGCATGTGTTACTGACATGTTTGGGGTCACTGGGATCCAGGCTGTGCAGCAGATTCTGCAGCTGCTCCATTTCATCCTGAGCTTGATTCCTCTCAGCATTCAGCCTGTCCAGCTGTTTCTCCACAGCCTCCATCTCTCCTCTCAGCTCTCCAAGATTCTGTATCCTCCTCTGAAGCTCCTGTCTGAGCTGCTCCTTCTCAGCCTCACTGATCTATAGTCGAAGTCAAAATTATTAGCCCTTCTGCGATTTTTTCTTCCCTTTTCAAATACTTCCCAAATTATGTTTAACAGAGTATTTTTCCTTCAATATTTTTCTTCTGGAGAAAGTCTTATTTGTTTTATTTCAGTTAGAACAAAAGCAGCTTTTTTTTAAACCATTTTAATGTCAATATTGTAAGGCATTTTAAACAATATTGTTTTCTGATTGTCTACAAAACAAACCACTGTTATACAGCAAGAAGGTCATTGGTTCGAGCCTCGGCTGGGTCAGTTGGCATTTCTGTGTGGAGTTTGCATGTTCTACTCGTGTTCACGTGGGTTTCCTCCGGGTGCTCTGGTTTCCCCCACAAGTCCAAAGACGTGGTATGGGTGAATTGGGTAAGCTATATTGACCATAGTGTATGTGTGTGAATGAGTGTGTATGGATGTTTCCCAGTGATGGGTTGCAGTTGGAAGGCTATCCGCTGTTTAAAACGTGCTGAATAAGTTGGTGGTTCATTCCGTTGTGGCAACCCCAGATTAATAAAGGGACTAAGCCGAAAATAAAATAAATGAATGTTTAGATGTGTGTTGAAAAAAAATATTTTCAGTTAAAAAGAAATTGGGGAATTAGTTACTGTACTGTCAATAATAAAAAAAAAACCTATTTCAAAAAATCTAAAAAGAACTTGTGTAAAAAACAACACCTTTCAAGTGGTCTTTATAAAACAATATCCTCTTATATAGACGGAAAGCCTCACAGATAGTTCAGGACTCCACTCACCCTCTTCATTATGAATTTGAAAAGCTTTCTTCTGGTACACAGCAAAAACAAATATTTTTAAGACATCTTTTATACCGTCTGCTATTATTATATTAAACAAATGATGTATTGACAAATGAAGTAGTTTATGGGCTCTATTTTGACGGTCCATGCGCAGATCGCAAAAAATGCGCTTTGCGCAAAGGCACATGGTCTAAAAGGGTTGAGTTTATGTTCTTAATGAGTTATAGGTGTGTTTTGAGAATAAACCAATTAGACTCTCATCTCCCATTCCCTTTAAGACCCAGCTGCGTCGCGCCAAGAGCGCATTCGCTATTTACAGGACGCAAAGTAAGTCTAAGTGGAAAAAATGAGAATTTCACAAGCAAACAGTGAACAGTTGACAGTTTTTTTAACAGAAAACTGTTAAACAGAGCATCTACTGCGTGAGAATGAGAAATAATGGAACTACTTTCACATTCGCTCTTGGATAGGGAAACCTTTACGCACAGACATCAATTAGCCTATAAATAATTAATTTCGTTTGTTAAGCGCAAAGATTTGTTTCAAAACTATTTCTAAATTCAGTTCTAATTTCTAGCAAACGAATAAATGAACAATAATGACCTAGTGTGGTCAAAATACTGAGTTATTTCCAAATACACCTGCCATGCCCCATATGCTCTAAAACCTGACAGGTGGGCAAATCTAAGCTTGTTTTTAATAAAACAAATATAAATATGGATATAATAAATAATACTGCTAATAATAATAACATTATACAGAAGCAAATTGTTATGAATGAACTGAAAAAGCCTCCTGAGATGAAGAAGACATAAAAGCAGTGATTTTTCATATTTATGTAGGCTAGAAAACAATATGTTTTGTAATATTTTAATCCTTTATATTTATATTCTATATTTATTCTTATTATATCCTATATATATCCTTAATATTTAATTTTTTTCATATGTAAAGATATTTGCCTATTGGTCTCTTGTGCGTATTAAGCAGTGCGTAAGCGAGGCGCAACTCTGCGCCGGAGTTTAGACCGGGTTTGTTTTGGTCTAATGAAAAATCTATTATAGTTTCTCAAAATAGCGACGCGCCAGCGGTCCGCCTCAGAATGCCTTCCTTTTTAGACCAGAACGCCTATGGGCGCACAAATGAGCGCTAATGCATTTGCTATTTAAACAGCGTAGCGCAACGCCTCAAAACGACTCTTGCGCCAAGCTGAAACTACCAAAAGACTATCTTGCGCCACACTGCGCCGGGTGTATGATAGGGCCCAATATGTTATGCTGTGACTGTGAATCTGTTTGTGGTTTTATGTTGGGTTGTGTGTTGGTAATCCATGGTGTGGCAACTTTGTGTTTGTGCTTAGTGGTTGTGTTTGGTATTTGTGATGTTTGGTGATGTTTAGTAACATTTTGTGATGCCAAAGACAAATTTGTGGACAAATGTGTGGACAATAAAAACTTCTAATCTCTATGTCAAAAGATCAAATGAAATTCTCAGTTGATGGCCACTATAAATAAACAAAAAGGTGTTTTAAAAAGCAACATCTCACCCGTCTCTGGGAAACTGCATCCTCTAGCTGCCGAAGCTCTTCACTGGCTGTAAGGATCTGCTGCTCTCTTGCCTCAATTTCTTTATGTAACTGCTGTAATTTCATTTCAGCTGAAAGTAAAACCAAAATACAGGCAACAAAAAAATTTTGTGAGGCCACAGTACAAACTATGAAATTACTTTGTCATTAATATTTGGTGCACTTCTAAAGTACAGGAGGATGATATTGTTTATGTACACAGTATGCAAATGCAAGGTCTTTATACCCAACTTAGTTCCAAACTTGAGCAGGAATGCTGGTGAGAATAAATAAATAAATAAAACTCCAGGTGCCCTTTAAACCTCTATACCTGCGAGCTGGGCATGTCTGGACATGTAATCTCCTGGGCTATCGGTCTCTGTCAGGTCTGAGGCTGGCGGATGCTTCTGCTGGCCTTGTGTGCCAGTATTCTCAGTCTCTGATGGGAATTTGATGTTTCTTTTCTGACGAGACTTTCCAATGTACGGACTCTCACTTATTAGGTTGTCTACCTCCACCTCCTGAACAACACAAGAGAATGTCGTCTATTAAAATGAATCATTTGATTCATGAGTCATATTATCATACACAAATCAGCACTAAATAGTACATACTGTTTAATATACATTTTATTAAAACTGAACTAAAGGTAATTGTGCTGCAGAATTTGATCATTACAGCACCACTGTATAAAATGCCACAATTATTAGAATGCAACACACTGTTATAAACTCTCAATGGTAAAAAAAACAAAATCATATTATTAAATTTGAAGTAAAGCAGGCAGTCAAGTTTACGATATTTTTAAAATGTATTTCCTCTTAATGAAAAATATATAAGACACAAAAGCTATGTATTTTTATGTATTTTACTATAGCTTTTAGAACAAGTGTGACACCATCTCGGAACACCTTGATTAACTGCTTATATATATATATATATATATATATATATATATATATATATATATATATATATATATATATATATATATATATATATATATAATATATATATTTAGCTTAATATAATATATATATTTAAATATATATTATATATTATAATATATATATATATATATATATATATATATATATATTATATATATATATATATTATATATATATATATATATATATATATATTATATATATATATTATTATAATTTTATAATAATAAGAATAGATATAGGATATAAATATAAAGGATTAAAATATAACAAAACATTAAATAACTTTAATTTTAGTGGCTTATATGAAAGGCAAAGGTCTCTAGATTACACTTATCTTACCAAAATAAAATAAGATCATTCCTTGATTTTTAAGCGTTTAATTAGGACGGTAAGGTCTGACTTTGCTTCTTGTCACTTAGTCTTGTCACTTAACAGAAATAATGTACAATATAGAATATAAAGTCATGGTGCAGAAGAAAAAGAATGAATATTGTGTCTGACTCCCATGAGCTTAGACGACTGCATCCATACATCTCTGCAATGACTCAAATAACTTATTAATATAGTCATCTGGAATGGCAAAGAAAGCGTTCTTGCAGGACTCCCAGAGTTCATCAAGATTCTTTGGTTTTATCTTCAATGTCTCCTCAAACATGCTCAATAATGTTCATGTCTGGTGACTAGGCTGACCAATCCCGGAGCACCTTGACAGAAACTTTGATGTGGGGGCTGAAGTATGAGAATGAGCGCTATCCTGCAGAAGAATTTGCCCTTTCCTGTGGTTTGTAATGTAATGTAATGAATTATTTGTTGCTCTAACAACTGGGATCGGCAGGCAGTGTGTGTGTGTGTGTGTGTGTGTGTGTATCTATCTATCTATCTATCTATCTATCTATCTATCTATCTATCTATCTATCTATCTATCTATCTATCTATCTATCTATCTATCTATCTATATATAAATATATATATACACACACACTTATACATACATCCACACTGTGAATGATATTTTAATATTTTAAAATATCAAACAGAAATATTAAACATATTAAACTTTTTTCAACATTTAGTAATACAAATATTTCTTAGGCAACAAAATAAGCATATTAGAATGACTTTCGGATTATGTGACAAAATACTGGCTGATATATTAATATGAATTTAATATTAACTTTTAAATAAATTCAAATACAGAATAATTATTTTAAATTCCACAATATTACTGTTTTTTTTACTGTATTTAGGATCAAATAAATGCAGTCTTCATTAAAAAAAAGGATTAATTCCAACCTGGAAATGGTTTAAGAGGCCAGCTAAATTAATTTCACACCCCAAAATGAACATGTACTTACTATAAAACCCAAACAAAGCAAATACTTACAGGGTCTGGATAAAAAGGAAGAGGTTCAAACTTGACATCTATTTTGTGAAAGGCCAACTCCTGCTCGAGCTCATAGTGTTTCTGACAGGCCTGGGTCAATTCCACAGTTTTCTGCTTCAGCTGTATAATGATAAAAAGTTTGTATAAACAGAACATTCCACCTTAAAACAAAACACACCAGCCACACTTCACTGCAAACCTTTTCAGCTCAGGATGACGTTGGATTTTAAAGGGATAATTCAACCTAAAACTGACAATTCAGATTAACATTCTTTATTCTGTTGAACACAAAATAAATCATTTTCAAAGAAAGCTAAAAACCTGTAACCATTAACTTCCACTTCCATAATTTCTACAATGAAAATCAATGGTTAAGGTTTTCAGCTTTCTTCAGAATTTCTATCTTTTGTGTTCAACAGAAGAACTCATAAAGGGTTGGAACCACTTGAGAGAGTAAATAGTGAATACATGTTCATTTTTAAGTGAGCTATCCCTTTAAGAATATGCTTGCACACCACAAAACTCATGAATACACAGAGTGACTAATGATCATTTAAGATTACCATTAAAATTCACACATGCATTAACATGCTAAGAACGTAGCAATGCCATACCAAAAACACGGCTCTCAAAAGCGAGCACCTGAGAGAACAGGAGAACATAATGTTGGCATCATACAATGATGGATGGAGTACATGTGAATACCTGACACAGAGAATCCAGCAGAGGAGTGTGATGTGGAGGCTGATATTAAAGCAAGAATAAAGAGAAAAGACAGTAAAAGACATGCAGCAAGAAGAGAACAGGAACCCAAGAACCAGGAAACCAAAAGAGAAAAAATATTGAGCCAGTGCAGAGTAATTTACCTTTTCTAACAGATTTATTCAAATGCCAGGTTTTCAAGAAATTCTGTTTAGCTAAAAGAACACTCAACTTTTATTTTGAAATTAGAATAATTTAGCTTATTTTAAGAATATGATAAATAATTTTGGATCCCATCATGTCCTCTAGATGTCAACAGTTGAGTTTTACATCCATTCAGCCGATCTCCAGGTCTGGCAGGAGACCTTTTAGCTTAGCTTAGCATAAATAATTGAATTGGATTAGACCATTAGCATCTCAAAAGATAACATTTAAAAAAAGAGTTTAGATAATTTTCCTGTTTAAAGCTTGACTCTTCTATAGTAACATTGTGTACTAAGACTGATGGAAAATGAAAAGTTGCTATTTTCTAGGCAGAAATGGCTAGGAACTATACTCTCATTCTGGCGTAATAATCAAGGAACTTTACTGCTGTACTATGGCTGAAGCAGGCACAATGATATTACACAGAGCTGTTACCTAATTACCTAGCTGAGGACTATTTTCAGGCACAGAATGGATTAAAATAAACTTGTAAAATGAGTCTATTTCCAAATAAATTTGGTGAATGAGGTAACAAACACATCCTCAAACAAAAACATTACTTAACACCATTCACAAAGTACCTTTAGAACAGACGACAAAAGTGTGGGGTAAGAAGAGAGAGCTGAACAGGAAATTTGCTAGAAATAGAAAGTAAAGGGGAAAAAAACTATGAAAAAATAATGAAAAAAGTACACATACTTTCACTATAAGAGGAAGAGAAGATATTTGAAAACAGATCTAGAAGCAGATATCGGAAAGTTAAGGATTAAAGGCAGCATGAAACAGAATTCACAACCCTTTTTCCCTTCCAGTATGTGACATAATTTTGTATAAACAAACACTTATTCTTAATTAATATTATAATGCATTAGAGGTGGAACATTTCTGAGAGGAATTAACAGAATAATTGTATCTCTTTGGAGCAATATGAAGTGTGATACATTGCAAAACAATAGAAGGAAAAATATATAAGCAAAACACCACAGCCAAATATTTTAGTTAATAAATTTTTGCATGTGATGCTTTATGGAATGACACATTTAAATATGCAAATGAGGCATTATCTACTTAAATACACACTAAGTTGTGTCTCATTCAGATAAAGAATAAAAAAAAAGAATTATTCAACGAAACCAGGTTTAAGATTTTTGTTATTTATTCATTCATTCATTCATTTTCCTTTGGCTTAGTCTCTATTTCCGCCACAGCGGAATGAACCGCCAACTATTCCAGCATATGTTTTACACAGTGGATGCCCTTCCTGCCGCAACCCAGTACTGGGAAACATCCATACACACTCATTCACACACACACACACACACACACACACACACACACACACACACACACACACACACACACACACACACACACACACACACACAACGGCCAGTTTAGTTTATTCAATTCACTTATAGCACGTCTTTGGACTGTGGAGGAAACCCCACTCCAACACAGGGAAAACATGCAAACTCCACACAGAAATGCCAACTGGGACTTGAACCATTGACCTTCTTGCTTTGAGGCGACAGTGCTAAGCAATGAGCCACCGTACCGTTCTTCTTGTTATTATTTTATATTCTAAACATATTAGAGCAAACAGATCCTACAGAGGAGATTTTGGATATATTTTTCTTTATAAATCAAAAAATATTTAAAAATATATTTATAATAGGATTATTTTACATCAATCAGTGTGGAATGATGTATGTTATGTTTTATGCTTCTGACATTAAGATTTCTCAATCAGTGCATGGGGAAATCCTACATAAAAAGACAGCTTATATTTTTAATATAATATAATTAATTAATTAATATAATTAAATTAAATAATATAATAAAATTAAAATTAAAATTAAATTAAATAATATGATTTAATTAAATGTATGTATTCTAATTTAAAAAATACAGATGCAAAAATATAATGTGTATTACTAGTCTGAATAAATACATGTTATTGGGGCAAAATTGGTCAAAAACTGACAAGCACATAAAAAATGTATTTTGATTTAAATAATTATATTTGATTTGGACTTTGTGACTTTTAGAATTTACTTCACAAGGAAATGCTCTAAAATAAAAAACATTGTTATTCATAAGCTATTACAGTTGTGTTTGAGGTCAAAATGGCCAACTCCTTGACACTGGAGCGGATGACATGACCCACCAGTTCAGACTTGGTGTCCAGTTCTCTCTTGAGCTCCTCATGGCTGTGCTGTTGATCCTGATTCTGCTGCCTCAGGTTTTGGTTGACTGTTTCCTGCTGTTCCAGTTGTTCCAGTGCTATGGTTCTCTCTCTCTGAAGCCGATCTATCTCCTCGGCTCTCAACTCCAGCTCTTGCTCCAAACGCTCCACTTCCTCTGTAAAGACAGCAGAACAGGGCTCAGATTATGCTAGCGCATACTGTAAAAAACAGTAGAAGATGAGATATGGTTTACCCATGTGAAAGCGTTGATGTGCTTGCTCTCTTTCTTGTGGACTGATTTGTTGTCCATCTAATATTTCCAGTGACCTCAGTTTGAAGATTAGGAAGAGGTGATAGTGGGCCAGACTGGAGACTGGGTTTCCGGCTAATGTTAGACACGTCAAGTTGTTCAGCGGCTTCAGTTTAGCCAGCTCATGAAGCTAAAGGTGCAATGTAAGTGCATAAACATTCAATAGCAGTCATTTACTTTTATGCATGTGACATTTGAATATTATTATTTATTTAATCCATTTAGACAATCTCCAGGTGTAGCAGGAGCATTTTTAGCTTAGCTTAGCATAGATAATTGAATCTGATTAGACCATTAGCATCTCACTCAAATATGACAAAAGAGTTTAGATCATTTTTCTATTTAAAGGTTGACTCTTGTGTAGTTACATTATGTACTAAGACCGACAAAACTGAGAAGTTGCTATTTTCTAGGTTGATATGGCTTGACTATACTCTCATTATAGCACAAAAATAAACTAACTTTGTTACCATACCATGACTGCAGCAGGTGCAATGATATTAAAAATGCCAAAACTGTCCCCAGCACCAAGAGTAAACTCTAGAAGAGATACAGCTGTGGCTAGTTAGACATGTGTACATCAGTAGAGCATAATTTGTGCTATATTGAAAACAATTATATAAAATAATAATTTTAGTTTACATTACTATGAGGAGTAGGTTTAGGGTTGAGGTAGGCGTATACATTAATAAAATATAATTTAATGGCAATTTAATAAATAATAAAAATAATTCTTATTAAATTTCAGCTGTATCCCTTCTAGCAACAACCAAAAATAAGCCCTACACATAGTTGGAATATGTGTAATAACAATGCACCTGCTGCAGCCATGGTAGGGCAGCCAAGTTCCTTAATTATTACACCTGAGAGTATAGTTCTTATCCATATCAGTCTAGTATATAGCAACTTTTCATTTTCTGTCGGTCTTACACAATGTACCAACAAAATAGTCAAATTTTAAATAGGAAAATTATAGATTTTTTTTTTTTTGAGCAAGATGCTCTTGGTCTAATGTGTTTCAATTAGTTATGCTAAGCTAAGCTAAAAGTGCTTCTGCCAGACCCTGAGATTGGCTGAATGGATTAAAAAAAAAACAGTTAAATGCAACTGTTTAACTTTATGGGAGTTGTAAAATGAAAGAATTCAAAAAAGTGGAGTGTTCTCTTAAGTGAATAGCTAACAAATAGATTATCTTTTACTCAAACTCGTGTAGTTCCAATCCTGTGACTTTCTTTTTTTTTTTAAACACAAATTAAAAATATATTTTGAAAATGTTGGTAAGTAGATAGTATCATTGTATGAATAAAAATGCTGAAACTATATTGAAAATATACAATTTTAAAAATGTTCTACAGGTTTGAAAAAATATGAAGGTGATTTTTTTTCCACAATTAAAGACTTCTTTGTTGATTAGCTGTCTTAATTAAACGATAAACAAATACAAAACCATTGCTGAATTGTACCCACTGAGGATATATTGTTGCTCTGTAGATTGACGGTCTGAAGGGATCTGAGCTTCTTTCCAAACCAAACTGGGAGATCTTCAATGTTGTTGAATGCTAAATTCAGAACCTGAAGTTTTGTCATGTGTTCCAGACCTTCAATTTTACTGCAGATGAATGAAATACAAATATTTTTAAAGTTAAAACTTGATAGCATCTATTCTTTTTCAACACAATGAAAAAGTCAATCTTTTCGACTAGAGCAGTGTTTCTCAACCACGTTCTTGGAGGACCACCAGCTCTGCACATTTTTTTCTATGTCAAATTAGCCAAACACACCTAATTCAGATCATCAGCTTATTATAAGAGACTGAAAGACCTGTAATGCATGTGACAGACAAATGAGGTGGTCATCCAGGAACGTGGTTGAGAAACGCTGGACTATAGCACATTTTATTCAAGTTTTCTTACTGTATTCTGTTTCTGGAAAGGTGAAGCTCCCGTAACTGACACAGTTTCTCTAGTTTCTCAATTCTCTCAATCCTGTTGTTGCTGAGGTTGAGGACCTGCAGGCGATCACACTTATCCAAATTTTCTATATACTGAAAACACAGTACAATATAAATTAATGCAAAATACAATTAAATGTAAACTTTATCACCCTCATGAAGCATTAACAAGATAATGTCTAAACCTTACCCTAAATTGATGGTTGCTCCCCATTGCCATAGACAGATCCAGGGTCCGCACAAGAACTACATTTTCGCATTTAGTCACTCTCCTGATCAGATCTTCTGTGATGTATCTGGTTCCCTTATATTGCCTTTTGTCTGTGAGTAGAAGTGTGTAAATGAATATGCACAACTATGTTTTCATGTCCATTGTGTTTAACAATATTCTAAAGGAAAAATAAATATAACTTTTAGACATGACATTTCGTAACATGTAAAAATGTTAGTAAGATGGTAAATTAAACAAATATTTTGTTCACAAAATTCACAAATTCAACTTTTATTCACAGAGCACATCATTCATATGTGAGTTAATAATTCATCTCACACTTCTTGTTGTTCATTATACACCAAGCAGTACGGTTGACTCATGTAGACGCAATTTTTTGACATCATTACGTTAATTAGGGCATTTGTTTAAAACTAGGGAAAATCATAATAAATGACAAAAAAGATACAAATCATTCTCACACAAAGATTGCTAAAATTATTTATGTTTATTTCACTTTTTTGCATCAAAGTTTCAAACATGAAGTAATTTGGTACCACTTTACGTGTCCATTTGTTAACAGTTAACCAACTGCCAATAATTATATATTGTTAGAGTATGTATTTATCTTTAAGTATTAGTTTAAAAAATACAATTGCTTGTTGTTAGTTTGTGTCCAATGAGGGCAATTATAAAACTACATTAACCAATATATTCAATATATTAGTTATATAATAGTTAATCTCAGAAAAATATTGGTTGTAAATTCTAAACAGGGAAATCCAATTACAAGCCAATGACTATCAAAGTGGGTGACGCGATGGCTCAGTGGGTAGCACTGTCGCCTCACAGCAAGAAAGTCGCTGGTTTAAGTCCCTGCTAGATCAGTTAGCATTTCTGTGTGGAGTTTGCATGTTTTCCCCATGTTGGAGTGGGTTTACTCTGGTTTCCCCCACAGCGCTATAGGTGAATTGAATAAAATAATTTGCTGTAGTGCATGTGTGTGGATGAGTGCGTATAGATGTTTCCCGGTAGGCTACTGGGTTGCAGCCCATTGGTTGTAGCCGGGAGGGGATCCTGTGTAAGACATATGCTGGATAAGTTAGAGGTTCATTCGGCTGTGGCGACCCTTGATGAATAAAGGGACAGAGCTGAAGGAAATGAATGAATGACTATCCAAGTACAACAATATTCATCCATTAAACAGTGCTATTGCTGCTTTTAAGTAATACTTACATGCTATTTCAGACTGAATATTCAAAGTAGCCTTGTAAACAACATATGACCGTGTCCCAAGTGCATGAATGTGCAAATATAAAACCAACGTTTCCTTACTAAAAAGTCATAACTTAATACAAAAAAAAAACTGTCTAAGCATCTGGAAATTTAGGACTCCAGAAGGCAGATCACACCAGTCACAAAACTCCCGTACTTCAGCAATAAGATTTAGATTTACCTTCATCACTGGGCTCTTCTCTCGGACCTCCATCCTCAGCTTCAGGCAATGAGGTTGTGTTGGGAGTCACAGGTTTGCTTTGGGGGCTCTTGGAAATTTTGGTTCCCAATATTGGAGACTGTTTGCGCATCTGAAAACCTCTTTTCATTTTACACTCATAAGATGTTTAACGTTACTGTAATTTACATTTATCTCAAGAGACCAGCAAATAGGCCGTCCATCCTAATTATTTTCGACTATTAAAAACAATGTTATCGTTACGTCTAATGTTAGTGATTTATGCAATGCAGACCGAATCTGACAAAACTCAAAGACAACATAAAACATAATTAGTGAATGTTTTTAATAAAAAGTTTAACATGTAAGCGCATGGTCAGTCACTCATTAGCGAAGACTGGTCAACTTTTGTTACCCAGTTTCCATAGTGACTGATCCCAAGCGCTTATCCAGCAACCGTCAGCTTATTATGAATCTCTATTAAAATAATCATTAAAACCAAGCGGATACAAGCCTGTTAGATTCACTTCTTATCCCAGCTGTCATTTAGTTAACTCATGCGTTAGTTAAGGATTAAAATGAGCGAACAATTCTCTTTCATTCCGTATCCTCTGCATGAACTTAAATGATTCGCGGTGGTGTTTTGATCACGTGACACTGTTGCAGTGTTTTCAAAATAAGAGTCATCAAATGCGCACTCATTTCCAGTGTTATATTTTCCAACATATTATAACTACATACATTCATAAAAAACATGCACTTTCCAAAACACATTTTTATCATCCAGCAAGTTTGTTGTTTATGGAAATAATGAGTTGTTTAGGCCTACATAAATACTATTAGACAGCCCCCCTCTTTACAAAATATGAAAATGACCTCATCATTTATTCTCCCTCGCGCGATTTTAAACTGTTATGAGTTTCTTTATTCTGTTAAATACAAAGATTTTAAAGAAAACTAGTTGCTGACACTTATTGACTTCGTTAGTAGGGAAAATAATATTGAATTCGGCGTGTTGCATTTTCTAAACAAGAATCCTCAAAATGCGCCCTTTAAATGCACACTTCGTGTTAAACAACAACATATAATACATACATTCATAAAAACAACATTCACTTTCCAAAACACGTTTTTATCATCCAGCAATATTGTTATTTATGGCAATAATTAGTTGTTATCTCCTATATAAACCCCACACCCCCCAATAATAATAAAAAAAAGAAAAATTACCTCATATTTTATTCTCCGTGTGATTTTAAACTGTTATTAGTGTCTTTATTCTGTTAAATACAAAAGAAGATATTTTGATGACTATGGAAGTCAACGTGTTGCATTTTTCTAAATAAGAGTCCTCAAAATGCGCACTTAAAATGCACACTTCGTGTTTAACAACATATCATAACTAAATACATTCAAAAAAACAACATTCACTTTCTAAAACTCGTTTTTATCATCCAGCAATGTTGATATTTATGGCACTAAATAGTTGTTAAGGCCTATATAAACACTGTTAGACCCCCCCACCCCCTAATAAAAAAAAATCTAAATAACCTCATATTTTATTCTCCCTCGTGTGGTTTTAAACTATTAGTTTCTTTATTCTGTTAAATAAAAAAGAAGATATTTTGAAGAATACTGGTTGCTGGCATTTAACGTATTGCATTTTACTAAATAAGAGTCCTTAAAATGATCACTTAAAAAATGCACACTCCTTGTTTAACAACATATAACTGCATACATTTATAAAAACAACATACACTTTTCAAAATACGCTTTTATCATGGAGCAACATTGTCATTTGTAGCAATATTTAGTTGTTTAGGCCTATATAAACACTATTAGACCCCCCACCCCACCCCCTAATAAAAAAAAATCTAAATTACCTCATATTTTATTCTCCTTCGTGTGATTTTAAACTATTAGTTTCTTTATTCTGTTAAATACAAAAGAAGATATTGTGAAGAATATGGTTGCTGGCACTCATTGACTTACAAAGTAGAGAAAAAAATTACTATTGAAGTCAACGTGTATAGTTTACTAAATAAGAGTCCTTAAAATGAGCACTTATTAAAGCACACTTCTTGTTTAACAACATATAACTGCATACATTTATAAAAACAACATACACTTTTCAAAATACGCTTTTATCATGGAGCAACATTGTTATTTATGGCAATATTTAGTTGTTTAGACCTATATAAACACTTTTAGACCCCCCCCCCTCCACCCCCCACAAAAAAATGGAAAAGAATAGTTACCCAAAAATATGAAAATTACCTCATCATTTATTCTACCTCATGTGATTTTAAACCATTATGAGTTTGTTTCTTTATTCTGTTAAATACAAAAGAAAATATTTTGAAGAATACTAGTTGCTGGCACCCACTGACTTCCATAGTAGGGGAAAAAATGATACAAATAGAAGTCAATGGGTTCCAGTTATAAACATTTTTCTAAATATCTTCTTCTGTGTTCAACATGAGAAAGAAAGTCAAAGAGATTTAGAACAAGATAAGGGTGGGTCATTTTTATTTCTGAATAAACTCTCTCTTTAAATTGTACATGAAAACTAATACTTTTTGTTAAATATGTTTGGTGTTTGTTAAATGATGATTCTACAAAGAGTTGAACTGATTTAAATGCTTCGTTTTATTCTTATTTTGAATTTGTTTTTCAAAGAATAAAAACGTACACATGAAGTACCAGTCCTATCGAGATGACATCAAATCACAGCCATTTAATAAGTATTCAAATTCAAATCCTTCCAAAACTTTGACATATTGTTTGCAGTTAGCATCGCTGCAGTCAGATTCAAGCGGCCACCAGTCCACCCAAGCTTCAGAGTCCAAAGGGAACTTGTACCTGCAACATGGTTTAGAGAAAATCATGCTACATCGTACATAGTAGTGTAATAAATCTTGTGAAATACTGAGTTTATACAGTGTAATGCAAGTTATAATACAACAGATTAAGGTCAAACTCCCATTTCATCTGTTTTATCGTTTATCCTATTTGATGACCATGTTTATCTCTAATAGTGCTCTTTATAGATTTTTTTAGTGTTTAATGCTTGTTTAGTTCTAGTTTTAATTTGTGCATAACCAAAAAAGCAGCAATGTTTCCTCAATGGATTTTGCTTTGCTTTTCATAACTTACTTGTTCTAAATAAAGATAGCATATGGAAATATGGTAAATGTACCATAATATGCAATTAATTACTATGTACACTCACCGGCCACTTTATTAGATACACCTGTCCAACTGCTTGTTAACGCAAATTTCTAATCAGCCAATCACATGGCAGCAACTCAATACATTTAGGCATGTAGACATGATCAAGACGATCTGCTGCAGTTCAAACTGAGCATCAGAATGGAGAACAAAGGTGATTTAAGTGACTTTGAATGTGGCATGGTTGTTGGTGCCAGACGGGCTGGTCTGAGTATTTCAGAAACTGCTGATCTACTGGGATTTTCACGCACAACCATCTCTAGGGTTTACAGAGAATGGTCAGAAAAAGAGAAAATATCTAGTGAGCAGCCTTCCAGCAGGATAAAGCGCCATGTCATAAAGCGCATATCATCTCAGACTGGTTTCTTGAACATGGCAATGAGTTCACTGTACTCAAATGGCCTCCACATTTGGGATGTTGTAAAACGTGAGATTCGCACCATGGATGTGCAGCAACAGCGTGATGCTATCACGTCAATATGGACTAACATCTCTGAGGAATATTTCCAGTACCTTTTTGAATCTATGCCACAAAGGATTAAGGCAGTTCTGAAGGCAAAAGTACTGGTACTGGTAGGTGTACCTAATAAAGTGGCCGGTGAGTGTATTTTGGGGTCAGACAAGCAAATAGTCTTCTTACCAAAAGTTAGCAATGTTGAACATTACACTGTATGTTATGTTTTTTTTTTTAATGAGCAAGAAAGCAGACAAGAACTTACTTGTAAGCACGATTCACTTGTATCTTCATGCTTTCGGCAGTCATGGTGAGATACTGCTTGCCAATCTCGAATTGTGTTGAATTGCAGGATGCCTTCTTTATAAATTCTACTTCTGAATCTGTTTTTAAGTCATCCGTTTCTCCTGCAGATAAGAAATGAAGAGGTTTGATTGAAGCTTTTAGAAGGCTTTATTAACAAATCACTTTCATTATTACACATGGGAAAATTAAGAGATGAGATTGCAGGAAAACCAATGAAATTCTCAAAGATTTGGAAGTCCTTTTTTTAAATAAATCTGGAGACTGAACAATGATAGCTGAGTGGTGTGAAAAATGTCATAAAGCATTACAATGTGTACAAAATACAAACTTTCATAATTGGGTATTTATTGGTATTTATATACAGTTAAAGTCAGAATTATTAGCCCACCTTAGAATTTCCCAAATGGTGTTTAACAGAGCAAGGACGTTTTCACAGTATGTCTGATAATATTGTTTCTTCCGGAGAAAGTCTTATTTGTTTTATTTTGGCTAGAATAAAAGCAGTTTTTAATTTTAAAGTCAAAATTTTTAGCCTCTTTAAGCAATTTTTTTTCGACTGTCTACAGAACAAACCATCATTAAACAATAATTTGACTAATTTTCATATCCTGCCTAGTTAACCTAATTAACCCATTTAAGCCTTTAAACGTTACTTTAAGCTGTATAGAAGTGTTTTAAAAATATCTAGTAAAATATTATTTACTGTCATCATGGCAAAGATAAAATAAATCAGTTATTAGAAATGAGTAATTAAAATTATTATGTTTAGAAATGTGTAGAGAATCTTCTCTCCGTTAAACAAAAATTGGGGGAAAAAATAAACAAGCGCTCTAATAATTCAGGGGGGCTAATAATTCTGACTTCAACTGTATATGCAAAAATGTTTTACTTTTTTTCTTTCTTTCTTTTCGTCATTTCCATTGATGATGTATATATGCATGCATGTTTATATGCAGTGTATGTAATGTATATGCAGATGTTTGAGTGGACTTGTAAATATGTGCATGTATAATTTATTCATGGAGGTATATGATTAAGTATCAGTTGTGGGTGTCCATTTGCATATATGTATTTACATTTTTACAGATGTTTACTTATTATTAAAGGTCCTATGAAATTAAACTAGCGTTTTTTTGATGTTAGTATAAGTATTGTTAGTTTCTAGGATATCTATAAGTTCGTGTGCTCCAAAACAGTGACACAATTCCCATTTAGAAGATATGAAACTGATATAAACATGGAAAACTTGTAGTTTGTTAATTCTGCCTAAAATGGATCAACAGTTTTATTCACATCACCTCATACTTGAGTTTCTCTAAAAATCTTGACCAATCAAATGCTCATTCATTTGATGTGCTTGAGCTCAACCACTCTCACTGGCAGAGCTGTGATAAAACTAAACACTATTGGCTGCATTTTTAAAAAGGGAGGAGTTACACTATGTCCCACCCTCTCTTCATGTTTCTATTAAGATTACATCAAACATCGAATAAAAAAATTCACATTTTAAGCACTTCCCGGGACTCGTAATTGCTGGTATGCGGTGGGTTTGGGGTTTGTGTTTTAAAATGTGAAAAACTCGAGATAAAGTATTTTTAAAAAATCACATTTATTATTCTCTATGTACCTTTTTTGAGCACTGATTGAACCGTGGCCTTGTAGGTT